AAGGGTAAAGTCTACAAAACTTAGTCCACTCTGTTCATAGCAGATTCTAGTTTTGGGAACAGAAAACTGTATTCAGAGTAAATGTTTCATTGATGAGAAAATTTGCAGAATGTTGGCCAAAATTCATCTCGTTCCATCTTCTCCCACTGCCCGCCAGTGGGCTTCCTCTCACTAACATATTTGGCAGTGAGTGGAAACGCCATTCGGATGCTTCACATTTATACATCCAGTGAAATATCTGTTTCATTGTTCTATCTATGGCTAAACTACCAAGTATGTTGGTTTGGTTACCACGGCAACTACTGTAGCCATCTAGTAAACTTGCTACTTCAGTGGATGTTCAACATATTTCTACCGGCAAATTAACACATTTCTAGCAGCAAATGTGTTAAATTATAGCCATGGTATAAAAGTCACTCGGGGCTCTGTGCGTTCTCTGGAAAATAATGCAATTCCAGTGGAAGGCCAAAGTCCTTCCCCCATTCCCCCTCTCCTTTCTGTGAATCCCCAATGTTTGGCATGACAACAACCTAGGAGTTGGCTATTCAGCACAAACATATCTGGGCCAGGCTACTGTATCTATGGAGCATATATGGAAATTTTGCCCAGTCACTCAGCTGCTGTACCCATCAGAAGGAGTGGAGGGGAGTTGGAGCTGGCAGGTGGTGTGACAACAGAACAGACGATAGTTTCATCTGTCTTCCTTCCCCACCAAGATGGTATGTGCCACAGAGGTGTGGCGGGTAGAATATAGAGCAAGGCAGTTAGACACCATGAAGGCTCTGCCAACACATAGGAGTGATACTGCTGCAGCCATAATAGTGACACATGATAAACCTGTATTTGCGCTTGTGGCTAGTTGAAAGGGCAAGGAGTGATACAGGTTATATGTTTCACATCCCCTTTGTGAGTAGAATGAGGGAGAGGGAAGTCTGTTTACCAGCACCTGTTACAGACACCATCACACATGTATAAAGGAACCACAGGAGGCTGCTGAGGGGAGGACAGTTCATTATAATGGCTGGAATGGAGTAAATGGAATGGTATCAACAACATGGACCATGTGTTTGATGTGTTTGATACCATTCCATTTATTCCGTTACAGCCATTACTATGAGCCCGTCCTCCCCAATTAAGGTGCCACCAATCTCCTGTGATAGGAACACAAAGAGGCATGGACTGTGTAGAGGTAACTGCCAAAATAAAGGAAACACGTGAGTAAATGAGGGATACAAAGTTTATTAAAAGCAGGTGCTTCAACATAGGTGTGGTTCCTGAGTTAATTAAGCAATTAACATTCCATCATGCTTAGGTTCATGTGTAAAATTGCTGGCCATTATTTTTGGCTACCATCCACAGGGCACAGGTGCTCACTGAATGGTTTGATTAGCATTAAACGATGTAAACCATATGCCATGGCCATCTCAGTCACCAGATCTCAGCCCGATTTAACACTTTTGGGAGATTCTGGAGCGGCGCCTGAGACAGCTATTCCACCACCACCCTATTAAGACACTATGTTAGTGTTTCCTTCACTTTGGCAGTTACCTGTACACTACTTTTTTTTTCTTTTTTTTTTTGTCATTTAGCAGACGCTCTTATCCAGAGCGACTTACAGGAGCAATCAGGGTTAAGTGCCTTGCTCAAGGGCACATCGACAGATTTTTCACCTAGTCAGCTCGGGGATTAGAACCAGCGACCTTTCGGTTACTGGCACAACGCTCTTAACCACTAAGCTACCTGCCGCCCCTGCCACTACTGTATATAAATCACAACAAAACGTGCCCTCTGTTCCTATGGTATGGGATTCCACATCCGGTATAACCAGTGGCACCAATACTCCTGAATTAGGTCATCCTTACAATACTGTGAGGTCAGATAACTAATAATAATAATAATACATAGATAAGCATTAACACTGGGACAAAAATTATGATTTTTATTGGTGAATGTCAGATGTTGATTAATATATCACATCACAAACTTCACATTTCTGAATGTATTTTAGTGTTCACTTTTAAATCCACACAAAAGGCTGCTTTTTGCATTGAAACAGTCATATCCACATTCCTTATAGTGCTTTAAGCAAGATCACTATAGCCAAGCTGAGCCACAAGAACCAGCAGTCAGTCAAGCAGGCAGAAAAGCAGGACTGGAATTTAAACACAGTTTAGGCTACACCAAGACATCTGGGATGTACTCTAAAAACATTTGTCTTTTTTGTATACGGTAACCCAGACAACTAGGCATAGAAGTAGAAATGTACGAATCCATGAATCAATGTAGGTAATTGCGGAGTTCCAAAAACTGTCAGAAATACTGAGATTGAGTGAGGTAGTGACACCTTCATATTCGGCAGTAAAAGAAGGTAAAAAAAAGAACTTTACTGCAGATCGGTACAACATCATCTCATTACTTCTCCCAAAACCCCCAAATTCTGAGAGGTGAATACCAAAACCCATCTACAGGGTTTCTCCAGGGGTGTGGGAGTAAGCACGGCTCGGCTGGCATCGCTATGGAGATATACAGTTTCATTATCCCTGTCCTAGATCTGACAAGACGGTGTCACAACACTATGGGATACCAGGGACTGGGAGAGAGAGAACAGCGGGGCACCCAACCTACTTTCTGTGAGACCCAACTGCAAATGTTAGTCCCATGTTTTCCATACACACAAAAAGCTTATTTCTCTCAAATTTGTTTACATCCCTGTTAGTGAGCATTTCTCCTTTGCCAATATAATCCATCCACCTGATAGGTGTGGCATATCAAGAAGCTGATTAAACAGCATGATCATTACACAGGTGCACCTTGTTCAGGGGACAATAGAAGGCCACTCTAAAATGTGCAGTTTTGTCACACAACACAATGCCACCGATGTCTCAAGTTGAGGGAGCCTGCAATTGGCATGCTGACTGCAGGAATGTCCACCAGAGCTGTTGCCAGAGAATGTAATGTTCATTTCCCTACCATAAGCTGCCTCCGACGTTGTTTTTGAGAATTTGGCAGTACGTCCAACCGGCCTCACAACCGCAGACCACGTGTAACCACGCCAGCCCAGGACCTCCACATCCGGCTTCTTCCCCTGCGAGATCGTCTGAGACCAGCCACCCGGACAGCTGATGAAACTGAGGACTATTTCTGTCTGTAACAAAGCCCTTTTTGGGGGAAAAACTCATTCTGATTGGCTGGGCCTGGCTCCCAAGTGGGTGGGCCTATGCCCTCCCAGGCACACCCATGGCTGCGCCCCTGCCCAGTCATGTGAAATCCATAGATTAGGGCCTTTATTATTTCAATTGACTGATTTCCGTTGAAATTGTTGCATGTTGCGTTTATATTTTTTGTTCAGTATGTATCAATAATTACAAAAGACGTGTGAAGCTCATCTGTTGTCAGTTGACTTGAGTTATAGCAGCATTGAGAGAACATAAGTGAGAGGTGAGGTATTTTACACTAGTCATACTCAGAAATAAAGCTTGTCGGAAGCTGTTTTCCTGTGGGCAAAAGTGGGCAGGTAGAGGTGTGGCTGTTGTTTCTTTCAAAAGACTGAAAAATGACATTCAGAAGATGTGTTTTTCTTCAATTAGGCCTAGTAACAGTTTGAACCTCACAATCAGAAACAGAGGATAAAAATCTGTTGATGTGCCATTGAGCAATGCACTTAACCTAATTGCTCCAGAGTCACCGTTGATAATGGCAGACCCTGGCTGTGACCCCACTCTCAGGGGGGAGTTGGGATTTGCAAAAAAAAACTTTTCCAATTCACACATGCGTATTAATACACATATGTGAAATAGGACAAATATGTATTATTACAATGGTGCAACGCACACGTACATAGACCTTCATGTTCCAATCTGAAAGAAAACATCTCACTTCAAATGAAATATGTACATCAGGGATGGGCAACTTTGATGGGGGTGGGGGCCACAAAAAAATCTTAACTTATCATGAGGGGCTGCAGTTGCTCGCGGGTCTGCGTACCTACATCATCCCCCCCCTCCCCCTTATGAGCAAAACATTTTAGTGGCCCCCCTCTTGACAGTGGATACTTTTTTTTAAACGTTTATTCCTGCAATGCAACACGGTTTACCATAGGATGGAGAGAAATGTTTGTAGTTTTTAATATGATATCTGAGTGAGACTGACTAACAAAATCAATGGGGGCCTCCCGGCCGGTAGTTCGACCATGACATCGAGTTTAGATAGCTGGCCGCTAAACTAACTCTGCAATCTAAAATAAAATTAGCTGACATTGGCTAATTTACTAACTGTCAATGACTGACATAACAGGAAAAACTGCTGATGAGCAACCAAATTTAGAAATTGCACCTTGTGTATTCTAACTTGGGGGGGGGGGGGGGGGGGGGGGTTGATCCAAGGGCCTTCAAAAGGGGGGCTGCCGCCAGTTGCCCATTCCTGATGTACATGATCATATATTCATAAAAATGGTGTCTGTCAGACATACTCATCCAACACACAATGAAAAGGTCAAATAATGACTTTATGAATACTATACAACTATAAAAACAATATAATTTCTCTGTGAGGAAGATGTATCCAAGGGCGACAGGATGTGACGACCATGGACCATGGTCTCTAGGGCCTTAGTGCATTCCAGGCCCTGAGCGGTCATTCTATGGTCAGGATAAAGGAGGAACATAGCACAGCAGTGAATCTCCAGGGAAGGAAAGAAGCGGCATGGTGGAAGTGGATATCCTTCACAGATTGACGAATCTCATTATGCCCTGCATTCCCATATGAATTTTAAAAAGTCTACATGAGAAATTGCACAATCTAGGCTGGTGCAGCAGACCCCCTGCTGCACCCCACAACCCTCAATCTGTAGCCATCAGGGACACGGTGCCGTGTTGCCTATTTAAACCTGACACCCTCCCCTGATATCAGTCTGTCTGGGTCATGTCAAGTGCCCTCCACTCCCCCCAACCCTATGAAGTCTCAACATGTCCCTCCAGTGGCCTGGTTGGGTGGGGGCCAGGTCAGACGTGGTGTGTGTCAAACAGGTAGAGAGCCTGTTTGCGTTGCTGCTCCTGAGGGGGCTCTTCCGTCCCCCGGTCCTTGTTCCAGTTCTTGAGGCCCTCAGGAAGGGAGGTGTCCTCCTCCATGGCCCCCGTCCCCTCCACAAACTCTTCATACGTAGACTTCTCCTCGTAGGGGCGAGGACCCAGCAGCTCCAGCATATCAGCCTTGTCCAGAACCTCCTTCTCCAGGAGACGCCTCCCCACCTGGAGGGGAAACACAGGGGAGGGGATGGAGGTTACTGCAGAGTAGACCACTTTTCAACCATGTTCTATACCTTTCTGATACACTGTCGATGCGATTGCCATCCTATTTCTCCCATGTCTTAGGGTTAGGAGATTTGGACCTCCTCTCTATCCCTCTCCATATCGCCCTCCTCTGTCACCATCTCTCTCCTACATAGCCCTCTCTTTCCCCCTCACCTTCTCCACCACATCTCTCTTCTCAGTGATGAGCTGGTGTGTGCGTTGGAAGGCAGTGTCTATGAGCGAGCGGACCTCCTGGTCTATGAGCTGGGCCGTGGGCTCGCTGTAAGGCTTCTCCATCACCATCTCTCCCTGCCTGGGGAGCTCAAAAGACACCTGGCCCACTGCCTCACTCATCCCAAACTGAACCACCTGAGAGAGGGATCGAGGGGGAGAGCGAGAGGTTAATTAGTGTGTGTGTGTGTGTGTGTATATATATATGTGTGTGTGTGCGTGCGTTTACCTGTGCGTAGGCAGACTGCGTGACCTTCCTGAGGTCATCCTGTGCCCCTGTGGTGATCTTCCCAAAGAAGACCTGCTCTGCCACGCGTCCCCCCAGCATCATACACATCCTGTCAAACAGCTGCTCCCGCGTGAACAGGTACTGCTCCTTAGGGAGGTACTGAGCGTACCCCAAACCCTTCCCCCGGGGGATGATTGACACCTGGGACAGGAGTGCAAACCAACAGGTAAGATCCTACATTCTGCTCAGGGTGAAATTGAGGGATAGGTAGAACAGGGACAGTAAGGACAGAGAAGAGACAGTGGGTGGGAATAAAAGGCGATAGAAGAGAGTGGAGGAGAGGGCCGCCCACCTTGAGCAGAGGGTCAGCGTGTTCCAGGTACCAGCCCACCACAGCATGGCCAGCCTCGTGGTATGCTACAGTGGTCTTCTCTAATGGCTGTAGCACCTGGGTCTTCTTCTCCAGACCTGGGGGGAAAGGAGGGCATGTTGACAACCACTAAAAGTGTGTGTGAGTTTAAGGTCTCAAGGCTGTACTTGTGTGTGTTAGGGGAGGAGGCTTGGTTACTTGTTCAGGAGTAAAAGAGTGGCCTCACTGGCCCCAGACAGACAGACAGGGAAAGGTCATGTCAACACCAGTCAGTCTGATAGTTACATTCCAAAGATTAACTTCCTGTTTGAGCCTTGATCCCTGACATCCACACTCCCCACCATCCCCCAGTCAGTGACAGTAGCTTACCTCCGATGACCCTCTCGATGGCCTGTTCAAAGTGCTTGACGTTGATAGACTCGTTAAGGTAGCGTGCTGCTATCAGGGCCGCTTCATTACACACATTGGCAATATCAGCTCCTGTAACAACAAGGGAAGATTATAGATTACCCACACAACTACCTGTAACATGACCAGGAGATACTGTAAAGGTTTATGACAAGCAGCATGATTACTTCAGGGGCTTCGAATACATACAGTATGTACTTAGCGCAGTATGTTGAAAGAACCATGTACTGTGTTCATTACGTCATTACTTTTAAAGGGGTAGTTCGGGATTTTGGCAATGAAGCCCTTTTTCTACTTCCCTCGCAAGCCAATGCTAACTAGCTTAGCGCAAAGACTGGAAGTCTTTGGGTAAAGCTGGCGCAAAGAAGAAGTCTTGCTAACACTAGTCAGGATTGGCCTGCAAAGCTAACTCTAACTTCCTTCCTACTGGACGCAGAGACATAAGAATGGTATCCACGAGTTCATCTGACTCTATGGAAGTAGATAAACGGCTTCATTGCCAAAATCCCAAACTATCCCTTTAAAACGCAACACAGCTAGCTGTCAACGTTCATACAGACAAACACACCTGGCCCTGCACTCACCAGTGAAGCCAGGTGTGAGGGCAGCTAGTTTCCTGGCCAAAGCTTCAGAGTCTATCCTGGAGTCCAGCTTCAGAGGCCTCAGATGGACCTTAAAGATGGACGCTCTGCCCTTTATGTCTGGTGGACCTGAGAGGAGAAGAGAAGGAGAGAGAGAATGTGAAAAACAGTAGGGATAGAAAGGGAAAAAGAGGGGGATCAGGTTTGACAGGGAGGAAGTGAAACAGAGTTATGGGGATGACCACTGGCCCAGGCGGGAGAGGAAGAGGGAAAATATTTACACCCTAGTGAGATGGCCCAGGGGAGCAGCTTGCCTCGCCTCCTATCCCTAATGGTTACTGTCCCCCGGTTACATAACCTTTCAGTTTATAGAAGCTCTCACTCACGCTGCAGTTAGTTTCCATGACAGACAGAAGAATGCAGGCCAGTGAGGCCAGGCCGGAGCTGCCTACCATTGTACAGCTGGACTGGACTAGGGGGAAAATGGATCCCAGCCATCAGAAATCTCACCTCACCCACAAAGAGTACATCCACATAGCTGACATAACACGTTACTGCAATGTTGGGCACAGCTAAAATCAGACTGCTATCAACACAGATACGGCAATTAGGCAAGTTATGATAGTGCTGATGATGGCAAAAACATTTTGCACAGTCAGTGCTTTTGCCTGCACTTTTGCCAAGAATGTGACCAAATATGTTTGTTTTTTTATCTCTGTGCACTTATAGTTTTCACTTCTAAAATGGTTTGATTACAAGGACTAATTGTGAGGACAATTTGCATTGATGAAATGGGGTCATGTCAAATTCTAATCATGTCGGCAAGGCTGTAGGAAGTGGTTTCACTACCCAGGGAAAGGTGACAAGAAAATCCTCTGTGTATTAACCACAGTAATTTCAGACAGGGCTGTCTGGTACTAGAATATGGAGACTGGACAGTGGTCTAACATACATAGACCTGGAGTTTTTCCCTGACCACATGACCCAACTGCAAAAAACTCTGGGCTCTAGTTAGAATTTATAGCGCTGAGTTTTTCCTGTTCAGGTCAAACCTTTCCCTAAACACACAGGACCAGGCTAGCTCGTTGCTATGGTAATGGCGGTCAGGTCAGGGGAGGCGGGACGACACTGAACAGGCATGGCGTGCTAATGTCATGAGATAGGCCGGCCGGCTCAGGCTGGGTAATCCCTCAATACAACGCGCTGAAGATTGCTAATCCAATGACAGGGCAGAAAAAGCTAATTCTGCTTGTGAGCTGTGTTGACCAGAGAGTGGATGGAGGAATAGTTGTCAGAGAGTAGAGCCAGAACAACACCAGAGCAAAGAAAGAAAGGCAAATGCCACGTTAATCCAGGGGACTGTAATCCAGGTAAACTATGTTTAATCCAGGTAAACTTTGCTCTTTGTGTCACAGTACTGAACACACTGATAAAGTAGCCTATACTGTAGAAGTAAACAGCATTGTGTATACACTACAGCGGCTAGGTAGCAGCATCTACCCTACTCCACATACTGTGGCTTATATCTAGAATGTACTGTATATGTGAGGTACTGATAGAGTTGGACTCTGAAAGAGGGGCCAATGAATTGTCTGATAGTCTGTAACAATGGCTGTGTTGATCTGTGCTGACAGGTAGAGACAGATTAGGCCCTGCTAAAATTAGACAGTACAGTTCAAGGCAAATAAACAGTTACAGGCCACACAGATTTTACTTATAGCAATTTATGGAGTGGACTGACTGTACCTATGTAAATCTGTCTGTCGAAGCGCCCAGGTCTCATCAGTGCTGGGTCCAGGATATCTGGTCGGTTGGTTCCAGCCAAGACGACCACATTAGTGCTTGTGTTGAACCCTACAGACCCAATAGAGAAGTGATGAAAAAACAGTTGAGATTGTATGGAAGGGTCACCTAATATACAGGACACAGATAACTATGGTTAATTAAACATTGAACAGTCATTGAGTGTCTTTGGGAATAATTTCCCTTTTCTGGAAAGAAAGTTGCTTCAGTTAACCACCATATTGTACCTACAGTGTAAGACCATCAAACCAGACCTACCATCCATCTCCACTAGCAGCTGGTTGAGTGTGTTCTCCTGTTCACTCTGTCCCCCAAAGTTCCCTCTGCCTCTCTTCCTGCCCACAGCATCTATCTCATCGATGAACAGGATGCAGGGAGCGTTCTTACGGGCCATGGCAAACATGTCCCTCACCTGGGAAAAAAAAAAAGGCATGGGTTACATTACTGGGTAGGTCCACAGTACAACAAATCAACCCTTAGCAAAGTTTTGCATGCTTATTGTATAAAACTGATGTCAATACAGTGATTCAGAGAGACACATTTATTTATTCCCATAGAGGAGTGAAACAAGTGCGTGACCTCAAAGCAAATATTTAGACAAAGAGAGGAAAAGCGAACAGAAATACACCCTGTAATCCAACTGTCCCTCCTCTTCCTACCCTCTCCCCTGGGGTAGTACTCACCCTGGCTGGGCCCACGCCAACAAACATCTCCTGGAACTCAGATCCGTTGACGGTGATGAAGGGGACATTGGCCTCTCCGGCTGTGGCCTTGGCCAGCAGGGTCTTCCCTGTGCCGGGGGGACCCGACAACACTGCACCCTGGGAAGCACATGGTCATAGCTGGTGTAAGTGGACACTCTTGTGAGTACTTGGAGGTTAGAGTGCAGCGGTGAATGAGATGCAAAGGAAATGTCTATGCAAACAAACAGCCAATTAACTATAATCTCAGCTCATCATACTGCATAGACAAATTAAACTGCACAGTGTTTTCCTGACATGGCCATGAAATTCAACATACTGCTATTTTTTCTCTTGGTGAGCATCATCCTGTACAACAGGGTTATATGAGTAGTGTTTCAGATGCTGGTATGGCTTCTAAGGAAAGAGTTACCTTGGGGATCTTGGCCCCCAGGTCCTGGTACTGCCGGGGGTTCTTCAGGAAGTTGACAAACTCTAGTATCTCCAGCTTTGCCTCTTCGCAGCCCGCCACATCCTTAAACCTCACGTCAATGTTGTCCTTCATGATCTTGGCCTTGGATTCGCTCATGCTGAAGGGGTTGCCCCGCCCACCGCCACGGCCTCCTGCCATTGGTCCCTGGCGCATGGTGAAGAGCAGGAAGCCAACCAGCAGCAGGGTTGGAAGAATGCTCATCAGGAAAGTACTATATATATATATATATATATATAAATAAATAAGAGAGAGAGAGAGAGAGATTAGCATTAATGGGCCAATAACTCTATCAACATCTCCAGGGTCAGTGAGAGTATGATAGAGAGGACCTTCAAATGAGCTCCAACCCCACAGCTCCTAATCTGAACAACATTCAAATAAAGTATTCCTGCTCCCACAGCTCTCCATCCCTCCCATGTCTCACCCGTCACTCTCGCTTCCGTAGACCACAGGTATTCTGTGTGTAGAGTCCAGGCCCATGTCCTGCTGGGCCAGCTCCAGGTTGCGTTCAAATGTTTCCACGCTGCCGATGTTGAACCACAGGTAGCTCTGTGACACACAGAGAGACAAGGGGATGTGAACACACTTATAACTGTTGGCATTCCTCATTCCTTATTAGTTAAGTTCTAAGCAAACAGTATGGAACATCACCACATCAGACTAAAGAATAGAAAAGCATACTAAATCTAAATGCATATCTTACTAACTTGTAAACTCTCTATATATGTCTTAAATGTCCAAAGGGGGCCTATGGATAGTGTCAACAAAAAAACAAGGCTCCCAAATGTCTCCCTTGTGATTATTTGGTACGTACCACCTCTGACGTATTGACTCCATGCACTGGGATGACTCTGACATACTGTTTGTTGACTACCTCCAGACGTTCCACCTGTACAGAGAACATCAGACACATCAAAGAACAAAGACCTCAGACTCACTGTTTCACACACAAACAATGACACATGCAATAATACTTTACTTATGGGTCTTATAAAATGTTATTACATAGTAACTAGTGAAGAACAGTAACCTAGTATATCCCCCGTCTCTCACCAGTCCTCTGGCCAGGTAGCTATGCACAAAGTCCTTCCAGGAGACTTCCTTTCCTGTCTCTCGGAAGTAGAAATACAGGAACGCAGAGGCCATGCCGGCGAATCCGATCACGACATTGCGCATGGTCTTCTCATCCCAGGGGAAATAATTCTGTCAGATTCAGAGAAAACAATGAGAGGGGAAACAGGGTGGAAATCAACACACGCACAAGCGCACACACACACAGACTGCCTCCCTCTCATGGCAACTGTCAACACCCCATTAGCAGTATGATAAAAGGTGACCCTTTATCATCTTACACAGCAGCCCTTTATAAATAGGAACTCAACTTTTTTTACATTCCTCTCCCATCCATTACATAACAGGCTGCCAAACAAGGCATTACTGACTGATGTGTTTAGGTAGTCTCTGGTTCAGATCAGGTAGATTAAGGGGTGGAAAATCAAACATGAGTGATGACAGAGTGCTGTTGTTGTGGAGAAAACAGGCACATCTTGTTTGTTTACATGTCTGATCTGTAGGTAGCTGAGGCTTTGAAACAGACCTGGAAGCGTGTCCACCAGTCTGATTCATCCTTCCTTCCGCCTCTCCTTTCCCTCTTGCCACCTCCATTTGGCCCCCCTTCTCCTCCGCCCTGAGATTCTGGCTCTTTGGTCTTCTCATCTAAACAAGCAAATTGCCACAGGAAATTAAATCACAGACAACTGGCTGTCCATCGTTGACATCCCAGTGTTTGAACAGTGGGCCAGTAGAGACACATGGGATATAGGCCATCAGTCATACCTCCGGTCTCTTCAGATGATTTGTTGACACCAGGAGTGTCCTCACTCTTTGGAAAGAACTTCTCAAATCCTGAAGCAATTAAAACATTGAATTAGGACACAATCAAACAACAAAAATGAATTGCACAGTCAATGGTAATTGCCATGGTCATTACATGCATAGATGATAACATCAACATATTCCTGGTGTTAGAGTGATTTACCTGTTGGGGGTTTGGAACTGAGCAATCGAGCCAATGTGAAAGGGCATTGATTTAATCCCATGGCATTGATTCGTTTTAATGCGGAACACTGTGAGGAGAGAGCAGGATTGGATTAACACAGCCTACCTTGAATCTCATACTCAAAGGGGTTAAAATATCTGCATTAGGCTACTGATATTCAAGAATACACAGTTGAAGACTATTCAGATGTTATCCACTGAATATTCTAATTATGCTCCCAAACATTTAATGGGGATAGCAAACCGACTTTGTTTTTATAGTTTACTCTCCTTTAGGCAGCCCCTCTACAAAACATTTTGGGGTGTGCATCATTTTAAGCCTTTTACTATTCAATTCATAAACAACACATCATGATAACTCAACCAGGCAAAATTATTATTACAGTAAATAATATTAAAGTCCTTCATAAACAGATGAACTCATTGAACTGATGTTGGGCTATAAAACCATTGATTTGGCAAAGGGCACTAGAATGTTTCACACAATTTGGGTCATGGCTAGAATCATACCAAATTCTCTGAGACCGTTGCAACCGGATCCAGTTTGTCAGATTTACGTAAAACGTTTTTTTTATTTTAGCTAACCCTAGCTATTTTCCTAACCTTAACCCAATTATCCTAACCTGCTACGAAAAGTCAAATCTGACGTTAGTTTGACAAAAACTGGAGCGATACCTTCTAGCCATGACCCACAACTTGCTGCAGCTGAGACGCCCCCTTCCCCACAGAACGCAGCAACTCGCCTTGTTATGAAATGAATGAGGGAAAAAAGTTTCATAAACAAGGACGAGATCTTTATGCAAGAAACTATTGATGACAGAGTTCACCAAGCAAAGACAAACAAGGCTTAATCATGCATTTTTAAATATATTGTAAATCTGTCATCAATGTTGTGTGAGAACATTACATGGTTATTTTGCAAGTTGACGGCCGAAGCATTGTTTAAAGAAATTACACCCTACCTTCGATAATGCGCTAACGTTACTGTGGCGAAAAGTTGCAGGGATGGTGGCACAGCCTCTGCCCCAAGCCTGCACCCCGTTCCGCAGGGGCCCAACACTCACTGAAAGCAGCCCCATCATGCGAACCATATTTCGGCTGGAGCAGGCAGAGTATCCCCGCTGTTGTTGAGGTGGATCGACTCCCGAGCCTCAACAGTTTACAACTAGCTGCGATTACACCGAGTGAGAAAAACCAAGTCACCAACCTTATATAAGCCTGACGTAAAAATAATGTTTAAAAAATAACATGATTACAAATATGTATCATTGCTGTCAATCATTAGTTTTGTGAATTGTACAATGAGAAAATTCGATGAATTCGAGTTAAAGTATTTCGATTGTTATTGCATTTATGTTCGTGCATGTCCACGACCTCCTAGGGTCCTTCGAAGGACCGGACTGCTGCTTTGCGATTGGTCTATATGCGTGGAACGATAACAACAACAACAAGTGAAGCTTATGAAAATGAGGGAGTTCTATTAACCTGAGCCGCGGTGCACCGGACTATGACCCGTGACGTGAACGGGCAATAACTGTGAGGCAGGAGTGCCCCTCTTAAACCGAACAGTAATCTGCGCCGCTCGGCCATGTTGTCAACAAGGCAGCTTGGTCCAGAAATATACATCTCCTTTCCATAAAATATATGTTCGAATTTTCAAACTAGTTTTCATTGGTCAGATAAAACGTTTTTATAAAAATGAATCACTTATACATGTGAAAATACCGAATCCTACTCTTTACTCCACGTGCTTGATCTAGCCTAGGCTACATCACTTTTCTTTGGAGCAGAATTCACCGTGGGTTTTGAACCACTGAGGTGGGGGGCACCTGGCTCACGCCCGGGAGGCAGCCCGGTTCCAAAACGAATGCACACCGAAAACTCCTCGCAACTGGGTAAACCGGGCCATATAATTTAATCCCCTCATTCACTGGTCACATTTTCCACGATAATAAGACAGAAACAATCCCTCTCACCTGTTCCCATTTTTTCAAAATACAGTTTACTGTTTCTACACTGTTCAAAACAACATTCAGTAGCCTCTGTCACCGGCCTGGAGCAGAGGGCTACATTGGCAAAGGCTGCCACAGTGTCAGCTTATAAAACACTCTTCACAACATAGAATTTATTAATACATTATTCATGCTTAACTTCACATGATCTTACAATTCATGTCTATATCTGGATTTTAACTAACACATGGCACATTACATTTGCATGTTATCAAGATCATTATGTAGAGAAAAACATAACACAGCCAAACATTCATTATTTTAAAACAAATAATTTTTTGTCAACATCAACATTTACATGCTCATGTGTCCCGAGGTATCATTCGCCAGCTTTCTCATCTCTGAAAATAATGTGCTATACTTTGAGGCGGGCTGCAAAAAAAACAAAAAATACTGTAAATAGATTACTTGATCAATGGGTAAATGTACAGTGTTCAATTATAAATCCAAACATTTCGGCACACAATATGTCAACTTAAGATATGGTTAATCAGTGCATCATAATGAGCTCTCCTTCACTTTACCCTTGACATTGCTTACATGACTGCCCAATAATTCTACTGTAAAAAGGTACCGCATTAAAAGCTCCCTAGGACATAACATACAAACCACAAGTTCTCTCCTCAAGTGTTTCAGGCAGATCATTTTATGTTCAAACAAATAAACAATAAAAACCAATTTTAGTGTCATTGTCCATCACGTAACGCCTCGTTTCACAACAGGGGGGTGACATACCTCATGCTCATAAGGAGGTCGTTTTGAAGAGCTATGTCATAACCTCACTAAAAATAACTGGCTCTTGTTATCGATGTCAGTTAAGGCCTGGAGGTGAATAGTAGTTTTGTTAAATTGATTTGTTAAGAAGAATTTGGAATTTAACACCTACTTCAGGGTAGTTAAAGATATTAGATTGTTAAGAGGTAAAGACCGTTATGTGACTCGCATTACAATTCATGCATGCAACATGATGCCTATACAGTACTCTCACACACAGTAACACATAGTCACACACATACTGTACAACATTGGCTTAGTGCTCAGAGTGTGTTTCTGTGGGCTATACAATGCAGCCAGTCTCAGAGTATCACACTTCATCACCGTATCATATAAAACTCTAATATCCTGCTACCATCTTCCGTAGTCCACTGAACTGGAACAAAGACACTTAAAAACATCCCCACAAAACAACAAAGACAGAGAGAGAGCGCAAGAGGGAAAGCTAGTCATGTTTGTGTCAGAATAATGTCTTGATGGTCCGCAACATAAGAAAAAGTGCCATGGCCACTCCCACAGGTTGTCAGTCACAGTGACAGGATTGGATCGACAGGGCTACGTGTCTTTCAGATCCGGCGGTTCGTCGTGCTTGCGCTCGGTCATCCGGGCACATTTTGGGCAAGTTGTGGAATTGTCATAGAAACAGTCCCTAAAGAGAAACAGCACACAGGAAATAGCCAAGTGTCAACCAATCATTGATTTTACACATAAACACTACATATGTTTGATAAACGTGTCTGCCAGCGGAGGCTGGTGGGAGGAGCTATAGGAGGACGGGCTCATTGTAATGGCTGAAATGGAATAAATGCAACAGAGTCGAAGATGTGGTTTCCATATATTTGATACCGTCCCATTTCAGCCATTACCATGAACTAGTCCTCCTATAGCTCCTCCCACCAGCCTCCTCTGGTGTCTGCATATAGCGGACTAGGGGACTGACCTGTGGAAGACAGCAGAGCAGTCGTGGCACACTGTGGTGTGGCTGTCAAAAGGGAACAGGATGTCTCCCTCCTTACACAGCTCACACACAAAGCCTTTGGCTTGGCACCGCTGGAGGGAGACAGGGCAAAAGACAGGGCACAGGTCAGTATCACAGGTCTCTACAGATTCAGTAAAACATCTGCCTGCTCTGTTTCATTGGTTTTCTCCCCAGAACGATTCCCTTTCTTCCTCACATTTGTGCTCAGATGAGATGAGTAACATTGTTTATTACGAACTACATTAGCTAACCATTGGGCATATTGTCCAAGAGACCGTTTAGACAAGTCCCGTATATAAAACTCACGTCACAGTCCAGTTTGATGTGCTTGGCAAAGGTAGTGTGGATCTCTGTGAGAGAGCAGCTGAGTCTGCCACTGGAGATGTCAATCAAATCCTGCAGCGAGTACATGTCATTGTTCTCCACAAAGTGCTGGCGATCATGGAGCTAAGAGGGGAAGAGAGATTCATATATACACTGCTCAAAAAAATAAAGGGAACACTTAAACAACACAATGTAACTCCAAGTCAATCACACTTCTGTGAAATCAAACTGTCCACTTAGGAAGCAACACTGATTGACAATACATTTCACATGCTGTTGTGCAAATGGAATAGACAACAGGTGGAAATTATAGGCAATTAGCAAGACACCCCCAATAAAGGACTGGTTTTGCAGGTGGTGACCACAGACCACTTCTCAGTTCCTATACTTCCTGGCTGATGTTTTGGTCACTTTTGAATGCTGGCGGTGCTTTCACTCTAGTGGTAGCATGAGACGGAGTCTACAACCCACACAAGTGGCTCAGGTAGTGCAGCTCATCCAGGATGGCACATCAATGCGAGCTGTGGCAAGAAGGTTTACTGTGTCTGTCAGCGTAGTGTCCAGAGCATGGAGGCGCTACCAGGAGACAGGCCAGTACATCAGGAGACGTGGAGGAGGCCGTAGGAGGGCAACAACCCAGCAGCAGGACTGCTACCTCCACCTTTGTGCAAGGAGGTGTAGGAGGAGCACTGCCAGAGCCCTGCAAAATGACCTCCAGCAGGCCACAAATGTGCATGTGTCTGCTCAAACAGTCAGAAACAGACTCCATGAGGGTGGTATGAGGGCCCAACGTCCACAGGTGGGGGTTGTGCTTACAGCCCAACACCGTGCAGGACGTTTGGCATTTGCCAGAGAACACCAAGATTGGCAAATTCGCCACTGGTGCCCTGTGCTCTTCACAGATGAAAGCAGGTTCACACTGAGCACATGTGACAGATGTGACAGAGTCTGGAGACGCCGTGGAGAATGTTCTGCTGCCTGCAACATCCTCCAGCATGACCGGTTTGGCGGTGGGTCAGTCATGGTGTGGGGTGGCATTTCTTTGGGGGCCGCACAGCCCTCCATGTGCTCGCCAGAGGTAGCCTGACTGCCATTAGGTACCGAGATGAGATCCTCAGACCCCTTGTGAGACCATATGCTGGTGCGGTTGGCCCTGGGTTCCTCCTAATGCAAGACAATGCTAGACCTCATGTGGCTGGAGTGTGTCAGCAGTTCCTGCAAGAGGAAGGCATTGATGCTATGGACTGGCCCGCCCGTTCCCCAGACCTGAATCCAATTGAACACATCTGGGACATCATGTCTCGCTCCATCCACCAACGCCACGTTGCACCACAGACTGTCCAGGAGTTGGCGGATGCTTTAGTCCAGGTCTGGGAGGAGATCCCTCAGGAGACCATCCGCCACCTCATCAGGAGCATGCCCAGAAGTTGTAGGGAGGTCATACAGGCACGTGGAGGCCACACACACTACTGAGCCTCATTTTGACTTGTTTTAAGGACATTACATCAAAGTTGGATCAGCCTGTAGTGTGGTTTTCCACTTTAATTTTGAGGGTGACTCCAAATCCAGACCTCCATGGGTTGATTCATTTGATTTCCATTGATCATTTTTGTGTGATTTTGTTGTCAGCACATTCAACTATGTAAAGAAAAAAGTATTTAATAAGATTATTTCATTCATTCAGATCTAGGATGTGTTATTTTAGTGTTCCCTTTATTTTTTTGAGCAGTGTATATACATTTCCATACCATTAAATTAGGTTAACTGACTGTAACCAAATGTTAATTAATAGAATGTAATAACTAAAAGCATTGCCTGAAATTTGAGTCCCTTTCACTGTTAAAACAAACCCTTACTTGGGACAATGTTTTCTAACCCCCTTTTTTTTCACATTTGCATATGAACTAGAATAATCCCCTCTAGTGCTGTATGTATCATATACCATAACTGCTCACAACTCTACATACAAATCACTGTATGCATGTCAGAATGTACAGTAGCTGTGCAACATCGAGGTCACCCATTCATTCACATATCTTGACATTTATATATGGCCTCGCATTACCAAGACCATTAGCCCTACCTATATGTACATATCTACTTCCATTTCCTCGTACCCTTGAACATCGACTCGGTACTGGTACCCCATGTATACTGAACAAAAATATAAACGCAAAATGCAACAATTTCAAATGTTTTACTGAGTTTCAGTTCATAAGGAAATCAGTCAATGGCTGTGCAAAAACGCTGGATATTGGTGGGAACTGGAACACGCTGTCGTACACATCGATCCAGAGCATCCCAAACATTTTACAATTTCAAATGTTTTACTGAGTTTCAGTTCATAAGGAAATCAGTCAATGGCTGTGCAAAAACGCTGGATATTGGTGGGAACTGGAACACGCTGTCGTACACATCGATCCAGAGCATCCCAAACATCCTCAATGTCTGTTGAGTATGCAGGCCATGGAAGAACTGGAACATTTTCAGCTTCCAGGAATTGTGTACAGATCCTTGCAACATGGAGCCGTGCATTATCATGCTGAAACATGAGGTGATGGTGGTGGATGAATGGCACGACAATGGGCGTCAGGCTCTCGTCACAGTATCTCTGTGCATTCAAATTGCCATAGATAAAATGCAATTGTGTTCGTTGTCCGTAGCTTATGCCTTCCCATACCATAACCCCACCGCCACCAGCAAACCACTCACCCAATCGACGCCATACACACAGTCAGCCATCTGTCCGGTACAGTTGAAACCGGGATTCATCTGTGAAGAGCACACTTCTCCAGCGTGCCAGTGGCTATCGAAGGTGAGCATTTGCCCACTGAAGTCAGTTACGACGCCGAACTGCAATCAGGTCAAGACCCTGGTGAGGACGATGAGCATGCAGATGAGCTTCCCTGAGATGGTTTCTGACAGTTGTGCAGAAATTCTTCAGTTTTGCAAACCCACAGTTTCATCAGCTGTCCGGGTGGCTGGTCTTAGATGATTGCACAGGTGGAGGTCCTGGGCTAGCGTGGTTACACGTGGTCTGCGGTTGTGAGGCCGGTTTGACATACTGCCAAATTCTCTAAAACGACAGCTTATGGTAGAGAAATTAACATTAAATTCTCTGGCAACAGCTCTGGTGGACATTCCTGCTGTCAGCATGCCAATTGCACGCTCCCTCAAAACTTGGACATCTGTGGCATTGTGTTGTGTGACAAAACAGCACATTTTACAGTGGCCTTTTATTGTCCCCAGCACAAGGTGCACCTGTGTAATGATGATGCTGTTTAATCAGCTTCTTGATATGCCACACCTGTCAGGTGGATGGATTATCTTGGCAAAGGAGAAATGCTCACTAACAGGGATGTAAACAAATTTGTGCACAACATTTGAGAGAAATAAGCTTTTTGTGTATATGGACAATTTCTGGGATCTTTTATTTCAGCTCATGAAACATGGGACCAACACTTTACATGTTGCGTTTATATCTTTGTTCAGTATTTATAGCCAAGCTATCATTGCTCATTGTGTATTTATTCCTCATGTTACTAGTTTTTTTCTATTATTATTATTTTATTGTATTCTGCATTGTTGGGAAGGACCCGTAAGTAAGCATTTCACTTAGTCTACATCTGTTGTTTACGAAGCATGTGACAATTTAAACTTGATTTGATTCTTAGATCAGTTTGTTATTAATTAAAAGGCCAGAGGGTGGCGCTGTTGCAGCACATACTTTCAGCCATGACCTCAGAATAAATAGGTTCCTCTGGGTTGTTTAACAATACTGCTGGAAGATCATTATGCAAGGCACTGGACGCAAATGCAATGTCCTTTATACAGAGATTGTAATGTGTCATGTTTATGTGATGTTTTGGCTGTGTTGATGATGTCGTGGGGGTGTTGGGATGATGTTGTGGGGGTGTTGAGATGATGTGTTGATATTGCGGGGATGTTGCTGACCTGCAGTAGTAGCCGTGCCTCCATGGCCTCCTTACAGGTGATGAAGTAGGGCTTCATCAGTAGGATGTCCTGACGGAGCTTCTGCAGGGAGGAACACATTCACACACTAGCGGTCAGTCACACCTGGATTCCATGGGCCAATGTCAGACACAACATGTTCTATGGGAAATCGCTTTTGAATGTGCCCCCCATCCCATATTTCTCATTTCATGGAACTATCTGAAGAAGCTACTTCTTTTATTTTTGATACACCATAAGCAAGTGTTTTTCTTCTCTGGCCCTACAATCTCCCCACTGACAGAAACAGCTGTCTATCTCCCTCAGTATTCTAATCACTCACCACAAAACACACTGGCACAAATAGAACTGCTGACTGGTGAGAATCTCCTGAAAACAAAAGCCTGGTCTACTGTTTGGTAATACAGAGAAGGTAGAGCTCCCAAAATAAGTTCTATAGCAAAACCAGACTTAATCCCAGTTTAGATGGAGTGGAAATGGAGGGCAAGACAAACCCCAAAACTGTACAAAAAGACAAACATTTGAATGAATTTATGTCACAAACATTCAGTACACTCTATTCATGCAGAGTCCCTGTTGCTGATATGTCACCCACCCTGATCTCCACTAGTTCCTCCACAAAGTTGAAGAGCAGTGGGTTGATCTCCCTCAGTTTCAGTACAGGCCGGGGTATCATCAGGGCCAGGTAACGCATGGAGGAACGACATACCTGACCAGAGAGCAGGGGACACACTGTTAGAGATAGGACTGCACAGAGTGCAAATAGGCATTACATGGTCACCAAAGGAAACAGCGGTGCATTCTCTTACCAGCTGCTTATCATATAATATAATGTAGAGTTTGTTGAAGTTCCTAGCTGTGTAAAAAAAAAATCTATATTGATAAGGAAAAACAGTGTGCTATTAGCATCTCTCTCTCTCTTTGGTACCTTGCGTGGCTCAAACTCCCAGTTGTGGATGACGCGTGCAGGGATGACAGCGGTGTCATTCCAGTGGCAGGTACTGCAGTAGTATTGGCCCGTGTAGTCACACTGCCTGGCCTCGCTGGGCACGCCCCCTACCGGACAACACAACACAGCGCAGCATGGGGCTCCGTGAGCGATTATAACACCACCCCACACAACTCTCACTGATGTAACGGTCTCAGAGACAACTCTCACAGTGTCACACACAACTCACTGATCATGCAACTAACACTGACACACAACACTCACTGACACATTACAGAACAAATATTTTCTTAACCATAACATGATTAAACTCTTAATGAGATACAACTCAGCATAGCTTTTGATGAATATTCAACACATCTCCCAGGGAGGAAAATCCTGGCAAGTAAGTAGATTGCGGTAACTTTTCATTATCACATTACACGATCAAAGCTGATTTAACTCTCCAAGCTTGATGTGAGTGCATTAGATCAGCAGGCTGAGTTAAGTACCATCTGTTCTATTAGCATAGAGAGTGGATGAGAATGACTAAGTGCTCTAGCTAAATCTCTTTAGATCCCCACAGAGGAACACTAACAGTTATTGGGCTCCAGGTTTATCTTGTATAGTAGGTTTAGTCACATTAGTCTGTGAGAGGAGAAGAATGTCCACACAGCTTTTTACAGGCCATTGACCCAGAGGTTAGCCATTCAAGGACACTTACTGCTTTTATAACTGTGATTGTGTTAATAATACAACAATGGTCCATAGACATCATGCCCGGCTGGGCATTTTGCTTCGGCTGGCCATGCTTTCCACCTGGCTACCCCTACCCCGGCCACCAGCTCTGCACCCTCCGCTGCAACTTGCCCATGCCCCCCCTCCCCCGCTTCTCCTTCACCCAAATTCAGACAGCTGATGTTCTGAAAGAGCTGCAAAATCTGGACCCCTACAAATCAGCTGGGCCAGACAATCTGGACCCTTTCTTTCTAAAATTAGCTGCCGAAATGGGGCGGCAGGTAGCTTAGTGGTTAAGAGCGTAGTGCCAGTAACTGAAAATCTGTCAATGTGCCCTTGAGCAAGGCACTTAACCCTAATTGCTCCTGTAAGTCGCTCTGGATAAGAGTGTCTGCTAAATGACTAAAATGTAAAAAATGAAATTGTCGCAACCCCTATTACTAGCCTGTTCAACCTCTCTTTCGTATCTTCTGAGATCCCCAGAGATTGGAAAGCTGCCGCGGTCATCCCCCTCTTCAAAGGGGGTGACACTCTAGATTCAAACTGTTACAGACCTATATCCATCCTGAACTGCCTTTCGAAAGTATTTGAAAGCCAAGTTAACAAACAGATCACCGACCATTTCGAATCCCACCGTACGTTCTCCGCTATGCAATCTGGTTTCCGAGCTGGTCATGGGTGTACCTCAGCCACGCTCAAGGTCCTAAACCAGGGGTGTCAAACGTACGGCCCGCGGGCCGGATCAGGCCCGCAAACGGGTTTAATCCGGCCCGCGAGATGATTAAAAATTTTTTTTATATAAATGGTCGGTGATCTGTTTGTTAACTTGGCTTTCAAATACTTTCGAAAGGCAGTTCAGGCTACCTCATTGCTAATGAAATCGCAGTGGCTTCAAAACCATTTAGTGAGGGTGAATTTGTAAAAACATGCATGATGAAGGCAGCGGAGATTGTGTGCCCTGAAAAGCGGCAGGCTTTTGCAAATATCAGCCTGACAAGAAACACAGTTGCAGACAGGATTTCCGATCTTTCAGTGGATTTGGACAGCCAGTTGAAGCAAAAAGTAAAGTCATTTATTGCGTTTTCGGTTGCAATTGATGAAAGGACGGACATTACAGATGTTGCACAACTGGCCATTTTTTCATCCGCGGAGTTGATGACACATTGACCGTCACCGAGGAGTTCGTGGAGTTGGTGCCGATGACAGATACAACGACAGCAGCTGATATTTTTACCGCACTCGTCGGCGCGCTGGACAGGGTCGGAGTGGACTGGTCCCGCTTTCAGCCTGGCTACAGATGGTGCGCCCTCAATGATCGGGAAAAAAGCAGGCGTTGTGACAAAGTTCAGAGAGAAAGTGCAATCTGCAAATGGAGGACGTGATTTTTTGACTTTTCACTGTATTTTGCACCAGGAGGCTTTGTGTTGCAAGTCATTAAAGATGGATAACGTCATGAAGGTGGTCATCCAAACTGTTAATTTCATCCGATCCAGAAGCCTGAATCACCGTCAGTTTGACAGCCTTCTCAGAGAGAAAGACCACATCTATGGCCTGCCATACCACACTGAGGTAAGATGGTTAAGCCGAGGTGCTGTGCTGAGGCGTTTCTTTGATTTACGAGAAGAAATTGAACAGTTCATGGAAGAAAAGGGCAAACCAGTGTTAGAATTTCATTCCGCAGAATGGATGCCGGACCTTGCATTTATGGTGGATGTTACAGAGCACCTGAATAACTTGAACAAACAGCTGCAAGGGCGCAACAAAGTTGTCACGCAGTATTATGACAGCATACGTTCTTTCAAGTTGAAGCTGTCATTGTGGGAGACGCAACTTGCCGGTGGTGATGCAGCTCACTTCCCCTGTCTGAAAAATGTGTGCGCGACCCAACATGTGGCAGACATGAAGCGGTTCAAAGATAAAATAACGGGACTGTTACGGGAGTTTGAGCAACGCTTTCAGATTTATGTTTATATGTTTTTATGTTGATGTGCTATTGTTTTTAATTGATTTTATTTTATTTGTATATTTAACCTATTCTTGACTCTGTGGTTCTTGCACTTGTTTGGGGAACAGGATTTCATTATTTTTATCTACATTTCTGCCTGAGAAATGACACCCTGATATAGTTCTGTGATCTGTGATATACTTCTGTGAATCACTGAGGCATTGTGTGTTTGTGTGTTCTTTGTCCTCAGAACTTTCAAATAACTTGAGGTGTCTTATGATTAATAGTGATGTTGTGCTTTTGGACACTGTCCTCAGGCTCCAGCTTTATGTTTATATGTTTTTATGTTGATGTGCTATTGTTTTTAATTGATTTTATTTTATTTGTATATTTAACCTATTCTTGACTCTGTGGTTCTTGCACTTGTTTGGGGAACAGGATTTCATTATTTTTATCTACATATCTGCCTGAGAAATGACACCCTGATATAGTTCTGTGATCTGTGAAACAGTTCTGTTAATCACTGAGGCATTGTGTGTTTGTGTGTTCTTTGTCCTCAGAACTTTCAAATAACTTGAGGTGTTTTATGATTAATAGTGATGTTGTGCTTTTGGACACTGTCCTCAGGCTCCAGCTTTATGTTTATATGTTTTTATGTTGATGTGCTATTGTTTTTAATTGATTTTATTTTATTTGTATATTTAACCTATTCTTGACTCTGTGGTTCTTGCACTTGTTTGGGGAACAGGATTTCATTATTTTTATCTACATATCTGCCTGAGAAATGACACCCTGATATAGTTCTGTGATCTGTGAAACAGTTCTGTTAATCACTGAGGCATTGTGTGTTTGTGTGTTCTTTTTCTTTAGAATTTTCAAATAAACTTGACGTGTTTTATGATTAATAGTGATGTTGTGCTTGTACTATTTTGGACACACTGTCCTCAGGCTCCAGCTTTATGTTGTATGCTGATCGTATTAAAACAAAGAAAACAATCTGAAGTTGTTGTTTTTAAGTTATATATACCATGATTTTTCCGGTCCGGCCCACTTGGGAATAGATTTTCCTCCATGTGGCCCCTGAGCTAAAATGAGTTTGACACCCCTGTCCTAAACGATATTATAACCCCGATCGATAAAAGACAGTACTGTGCAGCCGTCTTCATCGACCTGGCCAAGGCTTTCGACTCTGTCAATCACCGCATTATTATTGGCAGACTAAATAGCCTTAGTTTCTCAAATGACTGCCTCGCCTGGTTCACCAACTACTTCTCAGATAGAGTTCAATGTGTCAAATCGGAGGGCCTGTTGTCTGGACCTCTGGCAGTCTCTATGGGGGTGCCACAGGGTTCAATTCTCGGGCCGACTCTATTCTCTGTGTATATCAATAATGTCGTTCTTGCTGCTGGTGACCCCCAGATCCACCTCTACGCAGACAACACCATTTTGTATACATCTGGCCCCTTCATTGGACACTGTGTTAACAAACCTCCAAACGAGCTTCAATGCCAATACATACATCAGTGGCCTCCTTGTAGCTCAGTTGGTAGAGCATGGCGCTTGCAACGCCAGGGTTGTGGGTTCGATTCCCACGGGGTGCCAGTATGAAAAATGTATGCACTCAATAACTGTAAGTCGCTCTGGATAAGAGCGTCTGCTAATTGACTAAAATGTTCAAACTGAACATGACCCAAGCACTCCTTCCGTAGCCTCCAACTGCTCTTAAACGCTAGTAAAACTAAATGCATGCTCTTCAATCGAACGCTGCTTGCACCCGCCCGCCCGACTAGAATCACTACTCTCGGCAGGTATGACTTAGAATATGTGGACAACTACAAATACCTAGGTGTCTGGTTAGACCGTAAACTCTCCTTCCAGACTCACATTAAGCATCTCCAATCCAAAGTTGAATCTAGAATCGGCTTCCTATTTCGCAACAAAGCCTCCTTCACTCATGCTGCCAAACATGCCCTCGTAAAACGGAATATCCTACCGATCCTTGACTTCGGCGATGTCATTTACAAAATAGCCTCCAACACTCTACTCAGCAAATCGGATGTAGTCTATCACAGTGCCATCCGTTTTGTCACCAAAGCCCCATATACTACCCACCATTGTGACCTGTACGCTCTCGTTGGCTGGCCCTCACTACATATTCGTCGCCAAACCCACTGGCTCCAGGTCATCTATAAATCACTGCTAGGCAAATCCCTGCCTTATCTTAGCTCATTGGTCACCATAGCAACACCCACCCCTAATATGCGCTCCAGCAGGTATATCTCACTAGTCATCCCCAAAGCCAACACCTCCTTTGGCTGCCATTCCTTCCAGTTCTCTGCTGCCAATGACTGGAACGAACTGCAAAAATCTCTGAAGCTGGAGACTCTGATCTCCCTCACTAACTTTAAGCATCAGTTGTCAGATCAGCTTACCGATCACTGCACCTGTACACAGCCCATCTGTAATTAGCCCAACCAACTACCTCATCCCCATATTGTTATTTACATTGTTATTTATTTTGCTCATTTGCACCCCAGTATTTCTATTTGCACATCATCTCTTGCACATCTATCACTCCAGTGTTAATACTAAATTGTAATTATTTTGCACTATGGCCTATTTATTGCCTTACCTCCATAACTTACTACATTTGCACACACTGTATATAGATTTTCTATTTTCTATTGTGTTATTGACTGTACGTTTTGTTTATCCCCATATGTAACTCTGTGTTGTTGTTGTTTTTATCGCACTGCTTTGCTTTATATTGGCCAGGTCGCAGTTGTAAATGAGAACTTGTTCTCAACTGGCTTACCTGGTTAAATAAAGGTGAAAAAAAAACAACTATATATATATATAGAGATTTCAATTTGTGCTGACTGCTAATTGGCTATCAAGTCGGTATATTAAAAGCTGAACACTCACTTAGTGACACAGGCGTGCGGCACTCGGCACAGCGGTAGTCCTGCCGGTCCAGCCCGATCTCTGGGCAGATGCTGAGCTCGTACGCCGACTGGTGGCTGACCTTTGACCTCACACAGGGCTTGTTGATGAGGTTCAAGCACTTGCTATGGCAACGGTAGTAACAACCTGCGAGAGGGACAGGGGAACAGAGACATTAGTCAACAGCTAACTACCCTTTTAAAATTCAATATGTGACTTAAGATTCTTTAGAGAAAGTTGGCCATACTTTACACCAATTCATTCAATTTTTCTCTCCAACTCAATTCATCATTCAGGGCCAACGTCGACCAATAGAAGGCCACAGGAGGGCAGTGTTGCCTAGCAACTGAACGCTATTCAGTTTTGGTTGCTTAGCAATGCTCTCTCTTTCATATGTTTACCCAAGTTCAGCCATACAGCTATAACCGTTCAGTGTCCATTAGGTTTTACCACTGAGAACATTTGGCTTAGTTTTAATGCACTCTTACCTGTGCAGGTGTACCAGGTCTGGATGAGGCCCCAGATGATAGTGCTGCACTTGTCACACGTCTGTTTCACACTCTTACTCTTCTCCTTGGAGAAACGATGCTCCAATAGCACCCTCAGGTTTGGCTCATCCTCCTCAGGGTCCTGTTGCGTGACAAGGAGCAGAGCCAATCAGAATGCAGCACAAGAGCACAGCATTGTGTCAGAGAACTACACTACAGTATCTGTTATTAATCAACTGGACGAGTTCACTGCAGCACTTTCAACCCACTCTTTCTCCCAGTGTGTGAATGACACCAAAACAACCCATATATGTTGAAAGCAATTCAGGCAATCCCAGCAGAATCCAGAGACTGCATGAGCTAAAAGGGTGGTTTCACATGTTCTTTTTTAAGTTAGACGTGACACAACCACAGTGAGAGACTGCCATAAAATGAGGAAACATGGACACGAAGACCAAAACAAGAAGTACAGTGCCTTCAGAAAGTATTCATACCCCTTAACTTATTCCACATTTTGTTGTTACAGCTTGAATTAAAAATGGATTAAATACCCCATAATGACAAAGTGAAAACATGTTTTTAGAAATGTTTGCAAATGTATTGAAAATGAATACAGAAATATCTCATCTACATAAGTATACATTTTTTGCAGTTTTACTTTAGTGCCTTATTGCAAACAGGATGCATGTTTTGGAATATATTTTATTCTGTACAGGCGTCCTTCTTTTCACTCTGTCAATTAGGTTAGTATTGTAGAGTAACTACAATGTTGTTGATCCATCTTCAGTTTACTCCCATCACAGCCATTAAACTCTGTAACTGTTTTAAAGTCACCATTGGCGGTTTCCTTCCTCTCCGGCAACTGAGTTAGGAAGGACGCCTGTATCATTGTAGTGACTGAGTGTATTGTCACACCATCCAAAGTGTAATTAATAACTTCATCATGCTCATGCAGCTTATTATGAGACTTGTTAAGCAAATGTTTACTCCTGAACTTATTTAGGCTTGCCATAACAAAGGGGTTGAATACTTACTGACCCAAGACATTTCAGCTTTTCATTTTTTATTAATTTGTAAAAATTAATAAAAACATAATTCCACTTTCACATTATGGGGTATTGTGTGTAGGCCAGTGACACAAAATCTTAATTTAATAAATGTTTAATTCAGGCTGTAAAACAACAAAATGTGTAAAAAGTAAAGGGGTGTGAATACTTTCTGAAGGCACAGTAATATTGTATTGACATTTCCTGAGGTAGTGAATGATTTGTGAATGGCTTTCATGCATACACAGTTCATGTTCACAAATAAGTGCTCTGAAAACAGGTATTTAGTTGGTCGACTATATTCTACATAGATACAATTACCTTATTGCCATTTACCTCCAATGACCAATTCCTTACCCCCTTCACTCATGGCCCCTGGGTAGGTCAATACTTCCCTCCAGCCTCCCCTCTTCCCCTCCCCCCTGGTCTTACCTTGAGCTCCTGTAGTTTGAGGCGTAGGTGGATGAGTTTGACCACAGTGTCCTTCTGTCTCTCTGAGTGCTCAGGCAGCTCCAGTATTAGTCTCTTACACTCCTCTATGGCCATCTTCAGCTGCTCAATGTCCGATGCTACAAATGAGCCCTGCACAGGGACATACAGTAAAAACACATGCACGGACAGACACAGGCACCAAATCTTACATTAGCACCTATTGATTGCCATTTAAACTGCACATAGACAGACAAGTGTATCCATCACAGTCGTGTTTTCACTAAGAATTACTTTTCATGCAACCACACCGACTATGGTCAGTGGTTCACCAACATCCAAAATGGCCGTATAAGGATTGTCCTTACGACAGGTCGAGAGAAGTGGTCCTCTGCCAGCCCCAGGTCCATGGCTCGGTCCAAACTCTGGCTTCTGCTCTCAGAGGAGAAGAGCTCAGGTCTTATCTCTGAGGAAAGACGGACAAGAAGTACTGTAAGCATTGTTCTCCCTCTCTCACACACAAAGGCCTATACACACTCAGTAAAGCTCACACGCCCACTTAAACCTCACACATGACTAAACACACACACACACCAACCTTTTACAGAACACACATTTGTCTAAAAGGAGTTTCACCCTCAGGGCAGATAAAGGATTCACAACATACTGTTTTTATCCAAATATGTGCTCTGTTTAAATCCAGAAGGAAACAGGAAAGGACTACTGCCTTTGAAGTGCTAAAGGTTGCTAGGTAATAGACTTAGGCTTTACAGCCTCAAGATTAACAGGCAGAAATGATTAACCTAACAGTCCCACTGTACGGATGAGGTTATGGATATGGGCCAGACATCAGCTTACGGTCCCACAATTTACACCTCACCTATTGGATTTAACAAAGGCTATCATCCATGATCTGTAATAATCTGATATAATCTTATTCTTCTTCATAAAACTACTTGGGCTTGACAACAAAGAACTTGAAAATTATAGTACAAAGATAAGTAATGACAGATAGAAGCCTTATTCTCTGACACTAACTCAAATGTGGGTTGCTGTATTATGAGACTAATCACACAAATCAAAGCAATCTTGACAATCTGATACAAAAAGTTATCCTTGGTTTAGCTCGGCTCCCAACTCCAGCACCAGAGCATACACAGTTCAGCACTTCAGCCATTAAATCAAAGGGAGTGCTGATAGGCCTGGGGGCATGTAAACTGATCAAATATTTAAAGCCTTAGAGGAACAAGAGAGAGGCTTTAAGCCATTTTGTGTGGTTTTGTGCCAGGGTACAGAGTGCCAGATATTGGCTTAGGGCTAAACTATTTGAAGCTCTAAGCTTCTACATCTCCAAAGAACGCTCCCTGATAAAAGGCTGCTTCCCAAAGCTTTTACTTTTGGCTGGAACAGACGCCTCAACACAGTAAGAAGCAGATCAATTAGACCTAAAGATCCTGAGGGACAAGTTTCCCCTCCTATCATCATTAAAAAAAACATTACGAAAATGCAGAGATGCTACATCTCATATGCTATTACATCAGCAGTTAGCCTAGATCACAAACAGATGTTTACGATCAGCAAGAAGCATTTTGGGTGTCTAACAACTGATAAGCCTAAAGCCAGAACATCTCATTACAAACATAAACAACATTCAGCAGGGCGCAGTCTCAAGTTAGCCTGTATCAAGTAAACCCATAGCCAATCTCACTATCTAGGCCTGCATATTGTTTGTACCTGCGTACACCTCAGATGACATCATGGTAGTGAGAGACAGGATATCCTGAGTTGCTAGCTGCCAGAGAGAGATGAAGAGGCAGACAAATGCAGCTGCAGCCTAGACAGTGTTCTAGTGAACTGAGCTAAGTGTAGGCATACGATTACAGAAACCGTTCTGAACCACAGCACCACATAATGATCCTGTCTCAGTTCCTCTCATTACTTTAGGCTACAGATCCAGGGTCAGTTGATGTTGTTGATTAGCTCATAATGGTTAGGGCTGTTGCAAGAGTGGTACTACATCAGATAGTAAGAAACAGAGATATGGAAAAAACAGCAGCCTTCCTCTTTCAGTCTATGCTGTTGTCCAGCTGTACAGTCAGTCACATCATTTCAAAATGTATAGATTGTTGCATCTCTTGCAGACTATAGTTATGCAGACAAAGCTTGCTCTGGTATAGGATGCAGCTCTAATCTTGCAGATGCAGCCTGGCTGCACAGACAACATGAACTGACTTCACCCCAGGTTACTGCACTACTCCATCTTCATACTCATGAGGACGCAATAAGAGACTGCAGCAGTGTCATCAGGTTGTCGGCCTATCCATTCTCCATGCCTTTGCTGAGATGAGTAAAACACACAGAATCTGCCTCTGCAAACTCTTCTCATCACATGGCAATCACATTCAGCACTGGTGTTAATACATTTCACGTTCTATTACACATGTATACTGTGACCCATCAATGAACTAGGCTACTACCCAACCCGCCAGTCACACTCACCATCTCGAGGAGGGGTTTTACCCCCTGGGGGGCCGTCCTCCTCCTCCCCCCGATCAAAGGGGTTGAGGCGGGCTTGGCGAAAAGAAGCAGGTCTCTCATGATATTCCATCTCACCAGCTACATCTGTGGAAGACACACAACACATGGGCAAACAGTCGTGAACCAGAAGGATGAGACACATGGTCTAGGCTACCTACCACCAAGCCAAGCCTCATGAGAAAGAGAAAGGGGTCTCACTTGACACTCCCTCAAGGACAGAGTGGTTATTTTGCTACTCCGGCATGGTTGATCTGCCATGTTATGATGTCTTGTAGGGATCAGATATTGACACATCTAGTATGCATTATCATAGACACATAACCGTAGCAGTCATCAGAGCTGCATGATCAGCTCAGATGAGCCACTACACAGTCTGAAAACAAGCAAGACTCCCATTAAAAGCACTAGTTGAGGGGGTTGTCACTGTTTTTGCTTTGACTTGTTTATAGCCTAAACATATCCTCAAACACTTTTTTTTTTTTTTACATGCATTTTAGAGCCTATTTGTCAGAGGTGGGACCAAGTCACTATTATTCGAGTCACAAGCAAGTGTCAAGTCACAAGGTCCGAGTCTCAAGTCGAGTCCCAAGTAGAACGGGTCAAGCCTCAAGTCAAGTCCAAGTCGTGCATTCTAAGAGAAAGTAAAGTCCAGTCAAGTAAAAAAATAAAATCTATACATGCAACGCCTTGTTCAACTACAAATCTTTGTCTATATATTCAGGACAGTTCATTACCAGACAGCCCTTTTCATTATTTTGTCTACAACACATTTTGATTAGACTATGTAATTGTAAAACAGGGACCTTGTAGAAGTCGTAAGGGCATGAAATCAGCAGAAGGCAAGGCAGTTTGACGTGCTCAGAGTGTAGATTTATTTACAGGTCTTGGTGATCCAATGGTGAAAGCGCCATATCATACAAAATATACAAGTAGATTTACCAAATATTCACCGGCAATAGCCCAAAACAAATAGCCTCTGTATCATGCTTAACCGGTCCTATCTGAATGGACACAAGTAAAGGGCAAGACTGTACAGCCTCCCCCTGTGACATGCTGACCAGACCGCACGCGCATGTTGATTTTGTCCATCCACACCAAACGCGATCAGGACATGCAGGTTGAAATATCAAAATGAACTCTGAACCAACTATATTAACTTCGGGACAGGTCGAAAACCATTAAACATGTATGGCAATTTAGCTAGCTAGCTTGCTGTTGCTAGCTCATTTGTCCTGGGATATAAACATTGGGTTGTTATTTTACCTGAAATGCAGAAGGTCCTCTACTCCGACAATTCATCCACAGATAAAAGGGTAAACCGAGTTAGTTTCTAGTAATCTCTCCTCCTTCAGGCTTCTTCTTCTGACTTTATATGGCGGTTGGCAACCAACTTTAAGGTGCATTACCACCACCAACTGGACTGGAGTGTGGACCTCAGTTCATCTTTCAATCACCCATGTGGGTATGCGCTCCTAAAAACCAATGAGGAGATGGGAGAGGCGGGACTTGCAGCGCATCAAGTGTCACAAATAGAACCAAATTCTATTCTAGCGCCTGGCTACGCAGATGCTTGTTGACGCGCACGAGCAGTTTAGATGCAATGATTGAATAACATGTATGTGTACATTTATTTTGCCAATGCTCGAGCAAGTAACGCGAGCTGTGTGGTCAGCATGTCGGTGCGTCTTCGCCACAGTAATAATTCATTTTAACAACAAATTCAAAATGCAAACTTCATAAGTAAATTAACAATTTCAAGCAATTGTTACATACCAGAAGACCAGTAGACCTATGCTAGTAATTGTTGCCCCATTGCTGGTGAGCTTACAAAGTAAACAGTTAATATTCTTGTTCACCAAACAATTTTTGGAGCTGCATATGTATTTATTATGGCAATCATCTCTTCCTACAATTTGACGTTTGCGCTGCACTCAATCTTATAGTTGTCACAAATCAGCAATCTCTTCGCTAGCTCACCCGACCTGTGTTGAATGACAGTTTGCTGGTCCAATCAGAGTGGCGAGTGTGCGTTTCACTAGCCAATCTGTTGCAGGTTTTTTGCAAGGGCGATGCTGCGGCTACCATCTCTGGCTACGTGTATAGTAATCAATCCACGTATACTCTGTGCCACAAAATGAGTGACAAAACCTGGACATCAATCTCAGGGGAAAGTCGACTCCCGAGTCTTGAGGCTCCAAGTCAAGTCTCAAGTTACTTTATTTTCTATCAAGTCGAGTCTCAAGTCATCAAATGTGTGACTTGAGTCAGACTTGAGTCCAAGTCATGTGACGCAAGTCCACAACTCTGCTATTTATACAGAAAATGTGTATAAAACCCATATAATTATATGACAATATTTTAGGTTGACAATTCTATTAAACACATGCCTTACTTTTATTTTCCTGCATAACTAAAATCAGAAGTATTCCTCTACTGCCGTTTATTCTTGCCTAGTTAAATAAATATATATCTATTCCATTTAGACAGGTTTGGATTTCTCCCTGACCAACATGGCTGCCATATCACCCCATTCAGGAACTTCCGAGGGTTTATGACATAACCCCTCTAGCTAGTAATTTAATAGCATCTCAATTAGCTAGTTAGCCAACGTTACCTACAAAACGAAAGGGTGACACGCACGAAGGGTCAGACTTTTAAAACATTGGAAGACTTGCATGAGACAGGCAGCCAGCAACTATACACTGCAATGGTATCAACAATGTTAGCTACGAAAACTAAAATCAATGTAAATATTAATAGCCAGCTTGCTAGCAAAACAGTCGTTAGCTTAGCTAGCTAGCTCGCCTGCTTGCTAACATTCCTAGACAGGTATACTTACCCCATTGTCGACCTCCAAACAACACGACTTATTCGGATTTCATCCGTATATGATTGATGTTGGACACTTTGAAAGCTGTGCATTCAGTTTTCTTCGCAAATATAGCCTGTATCCTTCTTGTGTTTTCTGTCATCAGCATCACACAGAATGATTCCAATGTTTTTCTCTGGATGTGTCATCGCAGGAATACTGCTCGGAAGCGACACCTCGCGGACAGTGTATGTAACAAGAACCATAAAGGGTGTTTTGCAGGCAATATTGGTATGCATTCATGCGTGCATTAAATATGGAGCCAGATAGCTGCCAAAAGGTTGAACGTACGTATCGTTAGGATCGTATGAAAATCCATACGTAAAATGATAGGATCGTAAGAAAAGCCATGCGTGAAACATGAAATGTAACTGTTAAATTAGATCTGTAAACTTACAAACCCTATGTTACAACTATGAATGAACATTTACACGTTCAATTAATATTACTTTACGTCTCCCTTTACTCGGTTACAGATCTGTTTTATACGTACAAACTTTTGTCAGGAATGTGGCATCTGCAAAGGACATGAACCGAATGTAGCTAGTCGGAATTAACTAGTCAATCAAGCAACTCTAGCCCAGACGTTAGAGTTGTTTTGCGGCTTCCGGTTTCATTTCCAAAATAAATGTCTAGAGCTTGTTTTAGAATGGTATTCGATAACAACGTTATACCAGTAGATGGCGTAGTATAGGCTTCGGCCTTCAGCAAATGACTTGTGTGAGAATGATACTATAAAGACACAGAAGAGCCTTGTCTAGAATAACTGCCTGAGCTGCAAAATAGAAAGTAAATAAAACGTAAATGTAAATTTAGGCTAGGCCTATTCCATTATCTAAATATGCCATGCTGTTGTGTGTTATTTAATGGCCATATAATTGCATACATTATTTTTATAGCCACTTGGGGCTGCTGTGGTGATCATGTAACCTAATGAATCACACTTTCTCCAGTATTTGGGAGCACGGACTGTAGGCCTTATATTAGGCATTTTGACTGTTGTATTTGCGAATTCCACTGTATGTAGGCTTGTTATAGCCATTTGAGTTGCACAACCCCATCACGCAAAGGCTATATCCATATCAATAAATCAGACAAAACAAAATATTGATTAGGTCTTGGCTATAACCTGTCCTGAGCGAAATAGCCAAGGGGTCCCAAATGGTCAATACTTTCTATAGCCTATTTTTATTACCAGATCTGTTTTCCCTATCAGCCACTGCATGAGCTTCTTCAACTAATTTGTTGAAAATGTATTTAATGGCTATATTTAGAGGCCTGTGAGCTAGGGTCTCTTTTTAAGGGGAGGCCTATAATAAAAACAGATATAAAACTCAAATAGAGTTTTAAAATTATTCCGCAAGACACCAGTACTCAAAATGATAGCCTAAATTACAATGCCTACAAGTTGAAGGCCTGTTTTTTGGGGGGATAGGTCTAAAAGAAACATTGAATTATTAAAGTGATAGGCTAAAGAACTTTGGAGAATTTAGATAATTTTGAATACACACATGGATTTCAATAAACAAATGGATAACACTGTTCTATTCTCTTTGATTTAGTTCCTATTGCAACTCAGACAAATGACAGAATGGATGACATACTGACTGACTGAACTGAATGAAGGATGAATTAAATGTTCAAATATGTTGGAATGATGAGTTGCATGCATCATGCATGCTCTGCACTTTATTTGGCTAGTAGGCAAATAGGTCTACATTAGAGTATAATGACTCTATGGCTGCATGACTCCAGAAGGGCATCTTCTGAGGCTGAGGGGGGCTTTTCGGAAGGCGCATGGTGCTGTGGTGCTGCATGGAGATCACAAGCTCTTCAACTGGGCAGCAGTGTAGCGATGGAGGGAATAGCCTATACAGAAACTATCTAAGACCACTGCAACAGAGCTATTGTAAATTGTAGGAATATACGCTTATGCAAGACTTAGCCTACATTTAACCTCTCCCTTGTTCATTTCAAAGTCCATATGTTCATGATCTGATTCATATAAATCATGTCAAATTATTTTAAATGTATATTAACCCCTCCTACAGAATATGATTTGGCAAGATTTTGAGTGATAAAATAAATACGAGTGGCAAAGACTCCAGTGGTCATGCATGATTCATAGATTCACCAAACATCTATTATTATTCTATGTTTCATTATTCCTGGTATATACTACTGATTATGATTGCAGACAGAGCCCAGAGCATGGGATGGTGCAATATTGAATTAGTCATATTTTGATAAGGTGCATGCACGGGGATGTCCACGTCACCCAGAGATATGCCCATGCTGTAGAGATACACCTAGCGGACTGAAACTTCACTGTTGTAGGCATAATACAGCTAGTGCTATCTAGACTTGCGCTGGGAAACAAATCCATTACATTAACTACCTAAATTGGAAGTAAATTCAACTGAGGAGTAATAGAGAATGGAGACTTTTAACTTGAAAATGTGCAGGATACCTCTTTCCGGTTTCCGATTTTTTAATACTGTGTTATGCTTGTTCGCGTAGAACTCCTTCGAGGCCGTTTGTGTATGTTTTTTTTGTTGGTGAGATGAAACTGCCAAAACTCTGAAAGGTATTATTGTACATCAGAATTGCAACATAATATTTGTTAAAGCCTAAAATGTTAGTCCGTAATCGTAACATGGTGCTTGCCTACGGAGCTGTGAGGGGAACGGCACCTCCGTACCTTCAGGCTCTGATCAGTCCCTACACCCAAACGAGGGCACTGGGTTCATCCACCTCTGGCCTGCTGGCTCCCCTACCTCTGCGGAAGCATAGTTCCCGCTCAGCCCAGTCAAAACTGTTCGCTGCTCTGGCACCCCAATGGTGGAACAAGCTCCCTCACGACGCCAGGACAGCGGAGTCACTCACCACCTTCCGGAGACATTTGAAACCCCACCTCTTTAAGGAATACCTGGGATAGGATAAAGTAATCCTTCTACCCCCACCCCCCTTTACTCCAACCCACCCCCCCAAAAAATAATAATAATAATAAATAAATAAAATAAAAAAATACATTGTAAAGTGGTTATCCCACTGGCTATAAGGTGAATGCACCTATTTGTAAGTCGCTCTGGATAAGAGCATCTGCTAAATGACGTAAATGTAAATGTAAATGTGTTTGTATGTTCACAGATGAAATTTCACATTTGTGTTTCATGTTTCACGCATGGCTTTTCTTACGATCCTTACAATTTATGTATATGGATTTTCTTATGATCCTAACGATACGTACGTTCAACCTTTTGGCAGCTATCTGGCTCCATAATTATACAACGTTTCTGAAATCAACCTGGATAAAGTGGCATTTTGCTTCTTGAATCACTAGGTCTGTCTCAACTCCTCAAAAAGAGAGCTACAAAAATCTGAGTAGCATTTGGTGAAAATTGCTTTGGGACAGTGCTTTTTCTGTCATTATCTGCTTGTTTAAAACCAACAGGGTCATCATCAGCTCTTGGATGCCAGAGCAAGAAAGGAAAATATAATTATTGCTTTTGTGTTGGGGTCATTATAGAGCCACCTCTCAAGTAGCTCTTCTCATCTCTCCTCTATAATGTGTTAACAGAACTAGATATGGCCTTTACTTTGCTTGCAGTGTCAAATACTTTTAGTCTACCATTTATGGCAGTGTTGTCTGGGAATAGCTTCCTTCCTATGATCCTCTATTATCATACTTCCTTGTTTCCTGTGGCAGGGGAGAACAAATAGTATGAGGAAGATCTATCTAATTATTTCAACTGTTGTACTGAACTCTCACAATTGCTGCTGGATCTTGCTGCTGGATTGGCCCCTCCATACCTTCTGTGTGTAATGATCCAGTACATCAGCCTAGCTGGTCTGAGCTTTGAGCAGTATATGTCTCTTTCCTCTATAGCTTGGCTGCAAGTGAGACACTGACTCACTAGGCCTCTCCCTACAGTCCACAGGCCTGCTTCATCCCTATGCTACCCACATGAGAAAATATTACAGTTTACTATAGAATACTACATAGAATTCTATAGTAAACTGTAGAATAATATACTACACACTAGTATCCCTCGATCATGTGTAGTACTTACTATAGAATGTTATAGTATACTGTAAAATACTATAGTAAATACTACAGTATTATCCGCAAAATAAACGCTGTAGTAAATACTACATTAATGTCTGCAAAAACACTACACTTTGTTAACTATAATAAATACTAAAGTATTTAATTTGCATACACCCTGCTAATTCCCCTCCCCCATATCACAATTTGTGCCAGCCATAAGTGAGAAACCTACATGCCAAGTATAGACCATATATTGTATTCCCTACAGGTTATAGAAGACAGCAGAAGCTCTGAGCTAACCGTTCAGACCCCCAGTCCTATATACAGGTTATGGAAAATGTGCCCTATTAGTATTTATCCAGTAGGTTTCCTGAAGGACAAAGCCTCCACTTCTATGTCAAAGATAATAAAACAAGAACACTAAAGTAAATACTACAGTCATGTCTGCAAAAACACTACAGTAAATACTACAGTATACTAGTCTGCAAAAACACTACAGTAAATACTACAGTATACTACAATATGCAAAAACACTACATTAATTACTAAAGTATATACTAGTTTTCTTTTACCACAGTATGTATACTATAGTTAACTGTAAATACTACAGTATACTACAGTTAATTACATTGTATTTATACTATTGTATTTTTTCATGTGGGTAAACACTTCTGTCCTAATGCAGTCCTAAATGATGCAGCAGCAGTTTTCACTACAGGAAATGAGGCCATCAGTGAGATCCTTTGGTGTCTCAATCACAGGTATTATCTCTGTTTACCTGAGTGCTGGAATCTGGGTCTGAATAGTGACACCTATATAACAGTCATGATAGCCCAAAGGGACGATGAGTTGTTGATATTAATGAAGTCAGTTGTTTGTGTCTAATGTGTAGCGTGTGTGTGTGTTGTCAACACTCACTTGAGGTAAGGCAGAGACATACCAGAAAGACAGATGCTGCCTTGTTCTCTATAGATATTTACTGTATGAGGAAGCTGGAGGTGGCAAGCATACTGTGTTATGTGGGGATGCATCTTTGAGATTAGAGAGCCATGACAGGGTCTGTGTGTTCTGCACTACTGTATAAAGAGCTGCTCTGTTCAGGGCCTCTCGCCACAGGCTCTAAGTGCTGAGGCATCGCCAGCATGTGATCCACCCAGCCAACTGGCCCCATACATTGCAGAGAAGAGAGAGCACAAACAGCCTCCATCAATCTCCCTCCCTCTCTAACCAGAGAGCTAGAGTCACTTCTCTTCCTGTTTCTTCAGGAAGTGCAGGTGTTCGCTTGGGATTGTTGATATGTTTTTCAATGTGTCATATTCGGGGCACTCTCCGCATTTGACCTGTTCCTATTTGTCCTCCTAATCAATTGGCTCTAACCATATGGACTAGAGTTCCTGCCTCCTTTTAGACCAGGGGTATGCAACCGGATTTTGCTCCAATAAGGCACCACACCTGACCAACTAAACTGATTGATCAGTTCAGTGATTGCCTAAACTCAACACACCTGGTCTTCCAGGTCAGTTAAATCCAAAACATGAAGAGCCTGCAGCACTCCAGGACCAGGGTTGCCTACCCGTTTTAGACCATGCTGATAAGTGTATATTTGGAAGGCCGTCAGCAGGCGATCTTGTAGATCAAGGGTGTCAAACTCATTCCATGGAGGGCCTAGTGTCTGCTGGTTTATATTTTTTCCTTTCAATTAAGACCTAGACAACTAGGTGAGGGGAGTCCCTTACTAATCAGTGACTTTAATTAATCAATCAAGTCCAAGGGAGGAGTGAAAACCTGCAGCCCTCTGTGGAATGAGTTTGACACGTGTTGTAGATCGTCCACCATCTTAGCTCCTCACAGCCTGTCTCTGAGAGAGCCTGTTCTATCCAGACTCCATCCAGGCTGCCCAAGGTGTGCCTCAACCTCCAGGGGACTGAGATCCAGTATTTTTATCCAGCATCTAGGTCACCTCCACATGGGACAGTCATGCGTTCAACAAGGCTCTGCTTTATACTACTTTCCTATAAGAAAGACACTGTCCCCGTTTCCACTAAAAACAAATTCAGAAACCATGAACACAGTGTAGCAAAACAAGATGGTGTCCCCTATTCATGTTTAATATCCCCAAACAAGTCAGAAAAACCTCACTACAATGTAGGCTTGAACATGTTTATTATAAGAAATTAAGGGCTACTCGTCATCAGTTTATGAGACACTTTCTTTTTATTTCACCCATTCAACTTAGTGGTCTGTCTGGAGGTTTTTATCAACAGGAGGCCTTGACTTGGTCAGAGGGCTAAGGGAAGTGGGGCTAACAGTTAGCAAAGACACAGTGAGCGCAGGGAGGGGGATATAGGAAGGGAGGGTTATACAGTACAGTGTACATGAGGGAGATAACCCTGCTTCAGCCTGCTAAAAAGACAAAGCTCTGTCGGCTGGGTTTACACAAGCTTGGCTCTTCTTCCAAGGTGTTCACCGGGCCTGGCTCTCCGACTCTTCCTCATCGTCTTCATACATCTCTCCCTCCTCCTCGGTGGTGGCGTCCTGGTACTGCTGGTACTCTGACACCAGGTCGTTCATGTTGCTCTCTGCCTCAGTGAACTCCATTTCGTCCATGCCCTCTCCGGTGTACCAGTGCAGGAAGGCCTTGCGGCGGAACATGGCGGTGAACTGCTCGGAGATGCGCTTGAACAGCTCCTGGATGGCCGTGTTGTTCCCAATGAAAGTGGCAGACATCTTGAGACCGCGGGGCGGGATGTTACAGACGGCCACTTTGACGTTGTTGGGGATCCATTCGACGAAGTAGCTGCTGTTCTTACTCTGGATGGCCAACATCTGTTCGTCCACCTCCTTCATGGACATCTGACCACGGAACACCATGGCCACGGTCAGGTAGCGTCCGTGACGCGGGTCGCAAGCGGCCATCATGTTCTTGGCGTCAAACAACTGCTGGGTAAGCTCGGGCACGGACAGTGCGTTGTAGCACGCACTGCCACGCGCCGTGAGGGGGGCGAAGCCAGGCATGAAGAAGTGCAGGCGGGGGAAGGGCACCATGTTGACAGCCAGTTTGCGGAGGTCAGCATTGAGCTGGCCGGGGAAGCGGAAGGAGGTAGTAACACCGCTCATGGTGGCCGACACCAGGTGGTTGAGGTCTCCGTAGGTGGGTGTGGGGAGCTTGAGCGTGCGGAAGCAGATGTCGTAAAGAGCCTCGTTGTCAATGCAGTAGGTTTCGTCTGTGTTCTCCAGCAGCTGATGGATGGACAGGGTGGCGTTGTAGGGCTCCACCACTGTGTCTGATACTTTAGGGGAGGGCACCACGCTGAAGGTGTTCATGATGCGGTCAGGGTACTCTTCCCGGATCTTGCTGATGAGCAGGGTCCCCATGCCGGAGCCTGTGCCCCCTCCCAGGGAGTGGGTGAGCTGGAAGCCCTGGAGACAGTCACAGTTCTCACATTCCTTCCTGACTACGTCCAGTACTGAGTCCACCAGCTCTGCCCCCTCTGTGTAGTGGCCCTTAGCCCAGTTGTTACCAGCTCCACTCTGACCTATAGAGCAACACAACACACTTCAAGATAGCACTTCAGCAGTTATCAACAGTGCATTTGTACAGGATCTACACATTTACATAATGTTTTTATGACATTTGGGAGCATTTACCATAAGTAAACGCAAATGTCTTTAATGGAAATATTACATCAGACTATTTATGTTGTTACTGATAATGACGGAAGAGACTGTAAATGGCAGATTGACTGTTACTGCCAACCATCCTCTTAATGCAATCACTGAGCACGGTGGCCATATTTAACCCATGTTGGATAGACAGACACTGACCGAAGATGAAGTTGTCTGGTCTGAAGAGTTGTCCGTAGGTCCCAGAGCGAACACTGTCCATAGTTCCTGGCTCCAGGTCTACTAGGATAGCTCTGGGGACATACTTAGAGGCTGGGAGAGACAGCAGATGTTGTTACCTGCAATGCCCTAATAAATACTACTGTATATCACAGTCAAGTTCAGTACAATAGGATTCAAGTGGATATTTTCAAGTCTAGATAAACACCAAAGAGTGAGAGAGTGAAACAGGCCATTACAAGTATTGAGCAACAGAGCTTGCAGTGTTGTGTTGTTTTTGAGCTTGTGTAGATGTGTATTTAGTATGAGTTACAGTATCAGACTCACATGAGGCCTCATTGTAGTAGACACTGATCCTCTCCAGCTGCAGTGGGGAGTCGCCCTCATAGTTCCCTGTAGGGCTGATGCCGTGTTCATCACTGATCACCTCCCAGAACTGTACAATACACAGACACAAACATTAGCAGTAACACCATTTTATACAAGCACAGTGGATGTAAACTTCTCAGCAGATTTATAGTCGGGACCATATTGAACTATCACTGGGGTACTTGGAGGTGAAATTAATGGGGGGCTCTAGTAAAAACTGTTAGGAGTGTGGGCCAATGTAAATTGGGATAGTGGGCGTCTAGGCTTTGTCTGCCATCCGTCCTGGGTTCTGCTCCATTGATCCATGACCTCATTTAAGCCAACGGTTAGTCCAGCTCTGTCCCCACCCTCCCCCAGTGCTTCAGGGCGCTAGACTCATACTGAGGTAGAGGCCCTCTCAGAGGGGCCAGACTACATCTGGAGAGGCTCTCTCTGCTACAACACACACACACATATCTATTTATATATGCCTGCACACACCCACACGTACAGGAAGTGTGTTGCTAGGTAAAAAGACAAAAGAGGACACTACCTAATGAAGTCCCCTTGATCACTTCAAATGTGTATACTGTCACTGAGTGTATAGGCCAGTGTGTGTATCAGACACAGAGCGAGAGAGACAGAGAGAGACATTTTACATTTACATTTTAGTCATTTAGCAGACGCTCTTATCCAGAGCGACTTACAGTTAGTGCATACATTATTTTTTATTTTTCATACCGGCCCCCCGTGGGAATCGAACCCACAACCCTGGCGTTGCAAACGCCATGCTCTACCAACTGAGCTACATCCCTGCCGGCCATTCCCTCCCCTACCCTGGACGACGCTGGGCCAATTGTGCGCCGCCCCATGGGTCTCCCGGTCGCGGCCGGCTACGACAGAGCCTGGATTTGAACCAGGATCTCTAGTGGCACAGCTAGCACTGCGATGCAGTGCCTTAGACCACTGCGCCACTCGGGAGCATCCTGACTGGTTGCATCACCGCCTGGTATGGCAACTGCTTGGCCTTCGACCGCAAGGCACTACAGAGGGTAGTGCGTACGGCCCAGTACATCACTGGGGCCAAGCTTCCTGCCATCCAGGACCTCTATACCAGGCGGTGTCAGAGGAAGGCCCTCAAAATTGTCAAAGACTCCAGCCACCCTAGTCATAGACTGTTCTCTCTGCTACCGCACGGCAAGCGGTACCGGAGTGCCAAGTCTAGGTCCAAAAGACTTCTCAACAGCTTCTACCCCCAAGCCATAAGACTCCTGAACAGCTAATCATGGCTACCCGGACTATTTGCACTGCCCCCCCACCCCATCCTTTTTACACTGCTGCTACTCTGTTAATTATTTATGCATAGTCACTTTAACTCTACCCACATGTACATATTACCTCAACTACCTCAACTAGCCGGTGCCCCCGCACATTGACTCTGCAACGGTACCCCCCTGTATATATAGCCTCCCTACTGTCACTTTATTTTACTTCTGCTCTTTTTTTTCTCAACACTTTTTTTGTTGTTGTTTTATTTTTACTTTTTTTGTTAAAAATAAATGCACTGTTGGTTAAGGGCTGTAAGTAAGCATTTCACTGTAATGTCTGCACCTGTTGTATTCGGCGCATGTGACCAATAAAATTTGATTTGATTTGAGGTCAATGAAAGCCCCAGAGAGCCCTATGAAAGTCTAAAATAGAACACAGACAGACCCCCGCAGGCCCACACACAGACACAGTCATCACTATCAAGGGCAAACACAGGACATGCACTGGAAGGAGGATGCCAAATGGACATATCAGATCACAGATTAGATATTGTCAATTTTACTGTGCTAATCTCAGATATTGTTCTCATTACTATGCAAGAGAAGGTCCTTATCTGCACAGTGCTGTTCTAATTTAAGCAAAAAACACCATCTGGGCATTCACTAAAAGACACAAAGACACTAAAAATATACTGTAAAAAAAAGCCCCATATTGATCCCATATTGGTGACAGTTTGTTAATCCCATATCTGTGTCACAGCCAGCCAGATGGAGTGGCATTAATCCCATATGGTGTCAGTGACCTTTCCTCCATCCCTCTGTCCAGACTGCTGTGACCAAGGGCACCACACCCAGTATGAAGACCATCTTAGGTCTGAGCTCCGAACAATGGTGTCCCCCTTCCTCTCCCCAGGTGCTGTACTCCCTTCCTTTCCCTCCCTCCCTTCCTTTCTATCCTCTACAGAAGATGCTCCTTAGTTCTCTAATTATCTATCCTGTCCCAAACAGATGTCCCCTGCCATCTAAATCAGTAATTAGGAGTTCCTCTTGTTCTTTAAATTATGGCTCTGTAACCCAATCTGGCAATATCTCTTCTAGGGGACAAACAAAGAAACAGGAAATAAATAAGAAAGGGAGAGACTGTAAGAGAATAAAAGGGAAACCGCTAGACAGCGTTAGAAAAATAGAGAGTTAGATGCCTAAAGAGTTTGTAGGGAATTTTTGCTGTCTCATTCTCAGTTACTGTAGCTACCCTGGCAAAAGTGTAGATTTCTTCTGTTTTCATCTGACTTCATCCTGTACTGCATTAGCAATGGTAGATGATAACTCATTGTCACTACAGTCTAGAAGATCACGCTTAAAGTGGGTGTAGTGTGTATGTCCTGATAAAATATATGGGGGGTCGTCTGATAACTGAATGTGGCAGATGTGTGGTGCTAGTAGACAGACTGCCATATCATAGTTGAGCATCAGAATGACGTCACCATTGCAGTATATCAGATGACAAAAAGTCCCACTCCCAACACATTCTCTTCCCCCCCATCTCTCTGGGTTTCTCTTTGTTGGGAGTAACCTGAGCATTATGAACAACTCATTTTCCCAACAACTGCCCCATTAGAGAAATGGTGGTCAGAATCAGCAAACGAGATGAGTCACCAGTAAAATACTCCAGAGGGGAGTGAAGGAAAGTGGATACATGACACATTCACTTGTTCAGCTGTGGTCAAACAAGTATGTTCCAGCTGATGCTGTAGTTGTAAATTTGGTTCTGGGTAATGGTGATTATGATGATGAGGAGGAGGTGGTTACGTAGCTGTCCGAAATCACTACTGAGGCTCAGAAAAGGCTGCCTTTAATGTTATGAATAATAAATGCTATCATCAGGCTGATAAAACAGTATCATTAGCACCCCTATGGCTTTCACTCAGAAAATATTACCATATATGATCCACCATGCTGAACAAATCCATGATAAATAGTCTCCAGCTCCGCTAGAGGATCATAGATCATAGAGAAATAATGTAGGCTATCCCCAGATGGTCAAAATACAACAAAGGAGGGGAAGAACTGTAGACCTGTTTAGTTTTAGATGGACACATACAACATCACCTGATTGGCTGTAAGTGCAGGTGATGTCATCCAAAACAGAGCAGCAACAAAATAAGAAGCTGTCTACTGTAGGCTAAAACACTACCTCAGTCACACACTGTAAACAAATGCATTACAGCTTTAGACAGAAAAGCTTTCAGCATTTAGGCAATATCCTTCCTGAAGACTCCCTGTCTAATAGACCATCAAACCTGACAGCAACCCAAACCACTAGTCAGTGCGATTGTAGGCTATATGCAGTGGTAACTTAGGTCCAGTTATCATCATTTGATCCTCCATTAATAAAACTTTGATGAACTGATCCATTCAGTTTGCTGCTAAGTCAAATATGTCATAGGTATATCTATATAGGCTATTAACTACCACATCTACTGGAGACTGGCAGGCTGCTTAGAGAAAAAGAGCTATACTTGTCATTGTGACAGTGGCCTGTAAATTGTGCTCGGGCCCTCAGTGGAGTGTTTGCGCAGCGGGACCAGCCCCAACAGTCCGAGCCTTTGTCTGGCCCCCCTACAGTCCACCCGAGGGCGTGGTGGTTTTCAACAGTGTCTCACCACGCCTTTCTGTGCATCATACACTCGCAGTTTACAAAAGATGGTGGATCTCTGGCCGTTTACCATTAAAACAAATGGTCACAGTTCCGGTCTGCTTAAGGTGTGGGCTTTCCCATAGGCACCAATGCGATAGCATCTGGGTCAGGTCTGTTTACTCTATTGACTGTGTATGAACCAGAAAAAAGGAGCGACTGAAATGCCTCGTTTCTTCTCTCGTCTCTGAGATTAGTTCCATCTACCCGAACTACGCATCTCTTTCGCACTCTGCGACACAGCCGGGGATCCCAAACTATTCAACTAACCTAACGTTACTGAGTAAACCCGCTGCCCCACAACTTCGGTATAACAAAAAATATACGGATGCATTACATGAAAAAAAGATGACAACACAATGCTTTAAAATGGCACAATAGCGCTTGCATAAATATATTATAAATAATCATGATTAAACTAGTCAGCGGTTGCGAAGATTATTTTGTTTATACCTTGGCTCCGATCTGGTTGCCACACTGGCCGGCTTGAAGGTGAACGATTTCTCTCATCCTGTCCTCTGTGTGTTATGTTCGTCTTCTTGCGGATGTGGGCGAGTTGGAGAGAGCGCTGGTCCCAGTCGCACACGGAAGCAAAGGGATTGGTATGTGCTGAGTGGAGCTTTTATCTTGCGCAGGTCTACTGTGTGGCGAAACCGGTACTATGTTCCACCAATTGCTGACGTCATCTATGTCCTGGAGAGAGACGGTCGCTGACCAATGGCAGAAACCTGCCGCACAGCATCCCAGTGTGAGTCAGGGAAAAAGTAACGGGACGTGGCTGACGTGCAAACCGATATTTAATTTTCGAATTGGTTAAGGTAAGGATCAGTAATAGATTTAGGCTAGTCGGGGCTGTCAAAGTGATGCTGGTCAGAAACACACACAGACACAACACACCACCACCATTTGAACAATCCCAGAGTCAAGGTGGAAGCAACAACACAGCTTAGTTAGATGTCAGGGAGATGAGGGGAGAGAAAAGGATCTTAAACACTGAACAGTGTGACTGATTCTTGCTCTGTGTGAACATAGTCTTGTGGCATGGTGCATTTTTATATAGACTAGGAGATTACTCACACCTATGTATCCTTAAGGACAGAGATTAACAATTTCTGACAGTAAAATATTTTTTCCCCAAAGTCAGTCCCGTAACTGTCATCTCAGAAACATTATGATTCAGTATCAGCAGATTCAGGGAAGAAGAAGAGTGGAGCACAGTGAACATTGATGACCACAACCTTGCTGTGGCCCTTATTAGCATGAACACTGCAATCATTATACAGTGAATAGTCTGGGCCAAGGATGTTTATCTATGCCTCAACTCTCTGCAGTCTCTGCCCGCTGAGATATGTATTGATTGCTGAGTCAGGCAGCAGATGTGGTTAAGTGCTCTGAGGAAGACTCCAGTGGCGCTCCTCATGGACAGATGGTCTGCCTATGAAGCAGGTCCTGTTTGTGTGCGTGCGTGTCTGTGTGTGCACATGTGCGTATGAGACATCTACAGTACATGCATACAGTACATCTCACACTGTAAGTTGCCTCTGATCCAGTAGCTGTGTGTTCTGATTTCCAGAAACACGATAGTGATGAGCCATTAGTCTGTTTGGACGTCTGGGCCTGCTTTGTCTTCTCATCACACAGAGCCTGTGGAGAGAATGACAAGCCAACACCCGTGAAACCATTTAGAACAGCTGAGGAACCTCTGCTCAGAGCACATAGACCAGTATGAGCAGCCACCACAGCCCCCCCCCCCCCCCCCCCCGCCCCGTCCCCCGCCCCGTCAGTGTCTGCCAACCACTGCTGCTTAGCAACTAAATCCACACAATGTGAGCGAGCCTCCGTTGCTAATCAGCCACACAGTGTGGGATAGCTGTTGATTTCTTGTTCGTCTGCTGATACAGCTGAGCTAACTGTGCTTTAGCAGAAGGGCGTTCACCTGTTAGAACATCAATAAACCATAGTGTCACTCTAAAGATGACGCTAACACCAATGATTACGTTATTGACCACACTGCCATAGACAACGGAGTGGAAAGCTAGATCAGAGGGATTCTGTATGGAATCCTACTGGGTACTTTAATTAGACATTGTGAATAGTAGTCCTACTCTCACTGCTCTGGGTTACTGGTAGTCTGCTATGACTCTGTTGAGGATTTAATGAGAGTTGATTCATGGATTATGTCACTGTTCTTTAATCCCAAAAGTCTCCACATCCTGTGGGTCTCCAAGACCATGCACTGCCAATTCTGGGGACAGTGAGAAAAACTGAGGCTAAATGTTTTGCCAACACTGGTCAAGAGTTGCTTGTCCGCCCCTCCCATGTCTCAAAGCCAATATGGCCATCTAGTGGTCAGAAATTGCCAGAGCCTCTCTAACGTTTACATTTACATTTTAGTCATTTAGCAGACGCTCTGAGTGCATACATTTTTCATACTGGCCCCCCGTGGTAATCGAACCCACAACCCTGGCGTTGCAAGCACCATGCTCTACCAACTGAGCTACAGGAGGCCTAACATGTTTGATATAAAGGGCCCCAATAGTGGTACAATGCCACAGAGTGTGGTGAAGCTGATGAAATTGATGCTACTGTCATATAACACTTCTGTCAAAATGATTAAATCATGCATCTCATAACTTATCTATCCTTCTCTGACTCTGCATCATGCCAGTAAGGTTAGAGAGGAGGATTGCCATGATGAGTCACACAGCACCAGTTCACGTGGAGAAGATGGCTGCCGTTTTACAGCCCTCTAACCAATTGTACTATTATGTGTGTTTTTCTGCATTATTTGTAATTTATTTTGTACATAATGTTTCTGCCATCGTCTCTTATAACTAAAAAGAGCTTCTGGATATCAGGACAGCGATTACTCACCTCGTATTGGACAAATATTTTTTCTTCAACGAGGCGGCCGCGAAGGATATCCTACAGACACCCGAGAAGGCCCAAATCCCGTCATTCGCATGAGGAAGAGACAGAGATATCGTGGACGTAGGTCGGGGTGCCTTGTAAGGATCCGATGGCGAGCGAGTAAACTGCCTCTCCCATCAATCCTATTAGCCAATCTTCAATCATTTGAGAATAAATGGGATGACCTAAGATTACGGTTATCCTACCAAATGGACATTAAAAACTGTAATATCTTATGTTTCACCGAGTCATGGCTGAACGACGACATGGACAACATACAGCTAGCGGGCTATACGCTACATCGACAGGATAGAACGGCTGACTCTGGTAAGACAAGGGGTGGCGGTCTGTGTATATTTGTAAACAACAGCTGGTGCACGAAATCAAATTCTAAGGAAGTCTCAAGGTTTTGCTCGCCTGAGGTAGAGTATCTTATGATAAGCTGTAGACCACACTATTTACCAAGAGAGTTTTCATCTATATTTTTCATAGCTGTCTATTTACCACCACAAACCAATGCTGGCATTAAGATTGCACTGAATGAGCTGTATAAGGCCATAAGTCAACAGGAAAACGCTCATCCAAAGGCAGCGCTCCTAGTGGCAGGGGACTTTAATGCAGGGAAACTTAAATCTGTTCTACCTAATTTCTACCAGCATGTTAAATGTGCAACCAGAGGAAAAAAAACTCTAGACCACCTTTATTCCACACACAGAGACGCATATAAAGCTCTCCCTCGCCCTCCATTTGGCAAATCTGACCATAACTCTATCCTCCTGATTCCTGCTTATAAGCCAAAACTAAAGCAGGAAGCACCAGTGACTTGGTTAATAAAGAAGTGGTCAGATGACGCAGATGCTAAACTACAGGACTGTTTTGCTAGCACAGACTAGAACATGTTCCGGGATTCTTCAGATAGCATTGAGGAGTACACCACATCAGTCACTGGCTTCATCAATAAGTGCATCGATGATGTCGTCCCCACAGTGACCGTACGTACATACCCCAACCAGAAGCCATGGATTACAGGAAACATCCGCACTGAGCTAAAGGGTAGAGCTGCCGTTTTCAAGGAGCGGGACTCTAACCTGGACGCTTGTAAGAAATCCTGCTATGCCCTCCGACGAACCATCAAACAGGCAAAGAGTCAATACAGGACTAAGATTGAATCGTACTACACCGGCTCTAACGCTCGTCGGATGTGGCAGGGCTTGAAAACTATTACAGACTACAAAGGGAAGCACGGCCGCGAGCTGCCCAGTGACACAAGACTTCCAGACGAGCTAAACCACTTCTATGCTCGCTTCGAGGCAAGCAACACTGAAGCATGCATGGGAGCACCAGCTGTTCCGGATGACTATGTGATCACGCTCTCCGTAGCCGATGTGAGTAAGACTTTTAAGCAGGTCAACATTCACAAGGCCGCAGGGCCAGACGGATTACCAGGACGTGTACTCCGAGCATGTGCTGACCAACTGGCAAGTGTCTTCACTGACATTTTCAACATGTCCCCGACTGAGTCTGTAATACCAACATGTTTCAAGCAGACCACCATAGTCCCCGTGCTCAAGGACACTAAGATAACCTACCTAAATGACTACCGACCCGTAGCACTGACGTCTGTAGCCATGAAGTGCTTTGAAAGGCTGGTCATGGCTCACATAAACACCATTATCCCAGAAACCCTAGACCCACTCCAATTTGCATACCGCCCCAACAGATCCACAGATGATGCAATCTCTATTGCACTCCACACTGCCCTTTCCCACCTGGACAAGAGGAACACCTACGTGAGAATGCTATTCATTGACTACAGCTCAGCATTCAACACCATAGTGCCCTCAAAGCTCATCACTAAGCTAAGGATCCTGGGACTAAACACCTCCCTCTGCAACTGGATCCTGGACTTCCTGACAGGCCGCCCCCAGGTGGTAAGGGTAGGTAACAACACATCTGCCACACTGATCCTCAACACAGGGGCCCCTCAGGGGTGTGTGCTCAGTCCCCTCCTGTACTCCCTGTTCACCCATGACTGCATGGCCAGTCACGACTCCAACACCATCATTAAGTTTGCCGACGACACAACAGTGGTAGGCCTGATCACCGACAACGATGAGACAGCCTATAGGGAGGAGGTCAGAGACCTTGCCGTGTGATGCCAGGATAACAACCTCTCCCTCAATGTGACCAAGACAAAGGAGATGATTGTGGACTACAGGACAAAAAAGAGGACTGAGCACGCCCCCATTCTCATCAACGGGGCTGTAGTGGAACAGGTTGAGAGCTTCAAGTTCCTTGGTGTCCACATCACCAACGAACTATCATGGTCCAAACACACCAAGACAGTCGTGAAGAGCGCACGACAAAGCCTATTCCCCCTCAGGAGACTGAAAAGATTTGGCATGGGTCCTCAGATCCTCAAAGAATTCTACAGCTGCACCATCGAGAGCATCCTGACTGGTTGCATCACCGCCTGGTATGGCAACTGCTTGGCCTCCGACCGCAAGGCACTACAGAGGGTAGTGCGTACGGCCCAGTACGGCCCAGTACTCCAGCCACCCTAGTCATAGATTGTTCTCTCTGCTACCGCACGGCAAGCGGTACCGGAGTGCCAAGTCTAGGTCCAAAAGACTTCTCAACAGCTTCTACCCCCAAGCCATAAGACTCCTGAACAGCTAATCATGGCTACCCGGACTATTTGCACTGCCCCCCACCCCCACCCCATCTTTTTACGCTGCTGCTACTCTGTTAATTATTTATGCATAGTCACTTTAACTCTACCCACATGTACATATTACTTAAACTACCTCAACTAGCCGGTACCCCCGCACATTGACTCTGTACTGGTACCCCCCTGTATATATAGCCTCCCTACTGTTATTTTATTTTACTTCTGCTCTTTTTTTCTCAACACTTTTTTGTTGTTGTTTTATTTTACTTTTTTTATAAAAAATAAATGCACTGTTGGTTAAGGGCTGTAAGTAAGCATTTCACTGTAATGTCTGCACCTGTTGTATTCGGCGCATGTGGCCAATAACATTTGATTTGATTTGATTTGATAGGGTTATCGGGTCAACAGTTATAAAACGCCAGTTCCCATTAAGCACTGTTGACGAGACAGTATCCATATTTGAAAGGCCTTAAGTGAGTTGACAACTCTTTTTCTATTTTTCTGATTGGGGCCATATCATACAATTTACAGTTTCATACTTGTGTATAGTTCATTGTATAGACCATTGTTGAAAAGATAACCTATACAGGGTTATGCAGAAGGCATCAACAAGCAAGTAAGAATGTTGGTTACCTAATTTGATTCCAGTGTGACTAGGAGACATTGAGCTCAGACCAGACTTTCTTGGGGCAAACACGCACTGTATGGAGCCGTACGATGGAGCCTGTACAATCAGGTCCTTGTCAGGATTTCAAGCTCTGATTTGAATGCCAGCCACTAAATGATTACTGCACCCATCTCATCACAACCTTAGTTATCCATCCAAACCCCTACATGCCTAATCGCCTCTATCGATGTTCTCCAATTGGATGTGGTGAACCGCTCTAATTACTGATAGAACACAGGGACCTCAGAGGCATGGCAGGGTGATTGTGTGCATGCAGAGACAGGCGTACATAAGGGGTGCATTCCAGATACACATTTTCTGAGCAGATTTCGGCATAGACCCTTAAATCATGTTTATGTGGTTCCTGAGCTGTTGCACTTCTACTGTCATTGTACT